AATATAGTGAATATGAAATGAGTTGGTTGAATTAATCTTAAATATATAATGGACCTTATTTTCAGAGTTATATTGTCATACATATTCACTAGATTAAATATATAGATTTGATTAATTAATTGTAAATTTTATTGGTTTATTTGGTGAGTTGTATTGTTGGCTAGATGTTTTCTTATTGAGATCTGAAACATTTAAAGAACTATAAACTGGTAAGAAATCCATCACACATGAGTCACCGAATAAATTATACTTATTTATCATCAAAATTGATTGGTTCATTCTAAACTTCCTTCGTTTTCTTAATCTATAAGAAAGGTCATTCAAATTTAGGTGTAGGTCAAGAGGTGGATCGACCATTTGTTGAAATTTCATTTTCAATAAACTGAAGAATACACACATATAAAAAAACTATTGACCAAAAAATAAAGTTACTACTTGAATTCTCTAAATATCGATAGTAATTAGCATTGCTACTAAGTAAGTAATCGGAGGAGAGAGGAAGATGTGGTCGAAATTTAATTATCCCACTAATCAACTAAAAACAGAAAAGTAAACCATTTTACTGTTGAAAAATTAGAATAAATCTTTAATAAAATTCTTTTTATATTTTAATATTCAACAAAATAATTTAATCCTCATGGGCGGCCTGCTTGAGCATCTGGGCTACCTGTTCCTGCCATCTAGATATTTTAACAAGTTATCTATTTTTATTTGTTTTAATACATTATTATGTCTTTTAATCGCATAACCTATTCTGCTGCGTTTCTGAAAAGTGTACAACCTTTCGTTGTCAAAGTTACAAAAAAACTTAATAAGAGACAATGTGGTTGTTGGCAATATACAACGAAAAGAATGCACATTATTCAGATGTTCATTTACTGAACTGCTAACATCTAACTGGCGATCACTCAATATTTATCGCCAGGACCGACCAAGAAGAAAGAAACGGAAACTTGTTGAAATACTTTGCGCTGAGAATTCTATATTGTACCAAAAACATAATATTGAATAAAGCTGATGATAATAATAATAATAAAAATAAAAACAGTATGGAATTCATTCATGTAATTATTGATTAATATTTTTGGCAAATATTCTTATGTAATTGTGAAATTAATGTATCAAATGAACAATATCAGACAGTAGCCAGTTAATTAGGAAATAACAGATTGACCTTATTTATATTCTATTTACGATACTTATTTAAGCACAGATACAAAGAATTGGGATAACTTATTATTATTATTATTATTATTATTATTATTATTATTATTAATGCTAATGCTATTAAAACCGTGTTATTTCCAAAAAAGTAATTCAATTCTTTATTTATTTCAGTATAAAAACTGTATGGATATTATTGATACTAAATGGGAAAAAAACTAGGTGAATTCAAAAAAGGCAACATAAAAATGATTTTATCCCCAGGTGAATAGAATTTAAAGCAACCATCTATGAGAGTAGATGGATTTTCATGCGTTATATAGGACAAATCAATGAAGATGAATAAATTAAACTTAAGTCATACAAAAAACTAGCTTGATTAATATGAATTGCTTTAAGATGATTCAATGTTCTAGTAAAAACTCACGATACATTTAAGTTGACCAAATCACAATGAGGAATATGGATATAATTAGAAAAAACTGCATTGTTTAAGACGAAGATGAAATAATAGTTTAATGAATAAAGCACTCAGTTGTCAACCAATGAGGCACAGGTTCAAATTTCACTTCATCTACATCGATTTAGGAAGCTACGTTGGTAATATTAGCCATTATATGCAAATACTATGAATTAACGTCAAGTGGTACATTGACTCGTATTTAGTTAATGATCTATATGAATTTTATATTGATACTGAAATTAAGTGATACTGGTAAATCTGGATTATTAGATTCTAAGTTAGTAACTGGGTGTTTGAATTCGGATTCTACATAACCGTTTAACAAGTTCATTAAATTACTGGGTCCATTATTGATGAGTTAATTGTACATTAATGACAATCGTTTTGTCAATAACACAAATGACCACAAGCAATGACCGGATATTCTCACGCCTATTGATCCACACAAATCATGCTATTGCGACAGTGTGCAGTCAGAACACGAGAACAATATAATTTGACTTCCATTATTATGACTCTACTATGTTTGAAGAGATTACGAATTCACCTAATCTGAGAACGGAACGAAGACTCTGTGATGCAACGACAGATAGATTAGTTATTCCGACGCGTCTCAGCCCAGCTAACTAGAGAGAGAAGTCCAAGTTCTGAAGAGGGAAATATATTCCACAGCAGCCAGAAGCACGAATAAAAACAACAAGCACAACTCAAGCGGATATATACAGCATAAAATTTCATTGGAAAGTGTTACAAAATAGATGCTAAAAGACACAACGAACCAATAGCGTTTAAGATCCTCCCAAGTGAGAAATAGGTCATGAAGGTAAAAATGAGCGCTCTTGGCCCGAAAACCAGAAATTCAATTTTTTAAAATAGAATTACATTAATTTACTAAGTGATTTCTGAAGATCTAACCTCCCCAAAAGACTCCAAAACTCACATGATGATATAGTATACATCAACAACAATACGAAAATGCGTCACAAGTAAGAATTCACAATCTATGCACAATTAGGCCGTTTTTGATGCAGAACTGCGTAACAAGTGGCGCAATTATAAATTAACGGTAAAAATTATGTATATCAACAGTTAATGATTTAAATGAAGTTTACAATTAGGACAGTATAAAAATACCGTTAACCAAATATTTAATGAATATTGAATCAGTATATAAATGATAAGTTGTCGTACAGTAGTTCTAATAATTCCACCTTTCCCACTTATTCGCTTACCTCTAACTCTGAGAATGAATTTCGGAGTTATGATGACCAGTGGAGTTCAACACTGTCGGGTGTGAGGTAGTTATCCACAGAAGACAATGGAAGATGGTCACACAATCGACTCAGTGGTCTAGAGGTTAAACGTTTTCGCGTGCGGGATCGTGGATGGGCACTAATGAGGAGTCCCATACTAGAACGAAACAGTTGTCCAGTGCTTCCAGGTTTTGATGGGTTGATGGTCCCAATTAAAACTCAACAATCTGAGAATGGGATTCACAATACTAGAATGAAGCAGTTAGTTGTTCAGTGCCTCTATGATTTTATTAGTTTTTCATTAGAGATATCAGTTTTTTAAAATAATAACTATCTCCAAATTATCTTATGCTTCTCTTCCGAAATCGATATAACCATGTATATGGAAGATGAGAAACAATTATAGTTTCATGAAATTCACTGTGGAACAATTAAAACAAGATCTTATACTATCGCTTAAGATCCGTTCTACGAAATGAAGCCTTTCAACGAGGAGCATCAGAGAAAAAACTGATAAAAATGCTTCTGAGTATAAAGTTAGTTTGATACTTTTTATTAAAGTCATAGGAACAGTAACAGATAATAAAAATTAAATAAAACAGTTCGAATAAAACTCTCATGAAGTCTTTATCAGAGATTTTCCCTCTTTACAAAAGTAAGAAATAATAGGAACGCGTGGGTATACTAGCATCCTTCGATTTCTATAAAATTTAGGTGACGGTATCGTTATGTTTACTAATCAGACCATTTATTTGCAACTCGAGTAATAAACATGTTGAATCAATCACCCCCCACCAGTATTTCAAATAAAAAACAAAAAATATCAATCACTAACTATTAGAATAAAAGCTCTAGAATACATTTTTGAACAAAAATCGACGCAAATCATTAGAAATTACGATGAGGGTAGATCAACCGCACAAATATCGATAAACCGAAAGAATAACCAGTGTTTGAAATGCTGTTAGCCAATGATCTTGTCAAAAATATAATATGTAGTTCAAATAGAAAGCTCACAAATTTGTATTGTCCTAATTAAACATTCACTACTGAAATATTCAAAACGACCTTAGTGTAACCCAACGACTTCTGTACATAGGTTGATTTATCGGTTTGTGATTCACATTCTCCAATAATGGATAACAATTATGACTGGATACAAAAAACCAATACAAATATCTTATGTTTGAATACCAAACTCGAATAACTTCAAGACATTCATAAAATGAAATTGTATCTGCTGGTAATGGAAATTCGTGGTTCAGATAAATGATTTTGATGTTGTGTTTTGTTCTCTGAGATAGATGTTTTAATCTCGGAGCCAATTGCAAACAAGATAACTAGAATGAACTCATATATTAATTGTAAAATAGCTGGGAAGTTCAGTTCTACATGAAAGATTTTGTGAATAATGACAGTAGGAGCTCACCAATTAAACTATCTAGCTAAGAGAACAAAAAACATCAAATATCTGCAATTTGTAAGTAATCAGAAACTGCACATAGTTCACAGAATACTACTCACAGAACAGAGAGTAATCATTCAGTAGCAAGACAGCATTTATCAAATCTTTTGTTTTGAGAGCAAAATAATGGTGTTTACATGCGATTAAACAAGTTTTTTTTACATATAATTCGTGTCCTGAATGTTGCATCTAATGGAAGTTGTAGTTAACTTGTTTAAACAACCACCATATAAAAAGATAAGACTATGTATTTAAAAAGACATTTTTGGGGCTTCAGATATTAAAAGTAACTCCTTTATTAAAAAGAGGTTTACGTATTCGGCTTCGAGTCACAAGGTTTTTGTGAAGACTAGTGATATTAATCGACCATAAAGAACCAAGGTTGGTGAAATGTGACTTGAACCTGTATCCTACTGTTTCGAACCCCTGTTTTAACTAGTAAACTACCAGCTTGCAGAAATAGAGGCGACTGATGTTTGTGATCTTAATGCGAAGAACAGGAAGAAAAACACGGTCATTATCCGATGACAAGTGATCGAATGATGTTAACAAACATATGAAGTGTATTCTTCATTAGGATAAAATAATTGAAGTATATGAAAATGATAATACAATTTGAAATTTGAAAAAAAGTATAACAAAGGGAAAATCTTACAACTTGTTTGATTTCATTGACTTGACGAACGAGATCATTTGGAGCATTCATAGGATTCTCGTTGTCTGAGGCATCCCAGTCATCAGATGTTCTGATAGTCCTTTGTTGACTATAATCTTTTTTTTTTGGACGATTGTTACTAGGAGTGACTTGGGATGGTCGTTGTCGTGTTTGCCAGTCAAGGAATTCTTGAGAAACAGGTGATGATTGTGGATAAGATGATGAACGAGCTATTCTATTTAAGCGTCTATTCAAATTAGATATCATTGACCATCTAGAGATGTCTGAGTGATTTGCACGATTTTCCTGACTGCTATGAGGGGGTCCAATAGGATCGAACAATGTTGGCATTCGTCGACCGGCAGAACCAAATCGACATTCGGATTCAAACTGAAGGATGAAAAAATCGTTAGAATACAAGATATACTTGAAGTAATTTTACTATTAATATAACTAAACGTAAAAAATCTCTAAACAACAGCACCCACGCGTACTTACCTACTTTTCATTACCATTCTGATGCCAATAAACAACTTTTGAGCTCTACCACTTCATTTTTCCAGGTTGATGAGGTCGTCAGTATTGATGCAAATTCTTGTCCCTCAACGGTACATGGGACCAGAAAGTATCTACTGCTCTATTCTGTTAACCGAGAACCTCCTTTCTTGTTTCGCTGATTTTTTCAAACATTCTATCAACAATACCTCACTAAATTCATTAGCGAATGTAACCAGTGTTGATTATTTAAGCTTAAAAGTGTCACCTCTGATTATCTAGAACGCGAGTTCAAACATATTAAACATCTCAATATTCCATCTTTGTTGTATTGAACAACAGACTTCACCAGGCAAGATTCCACGGTTGAGTGACATAAATTTATTTAGTGTTTCCGAAAGTATCATACAGGGCTTAAATGTTGTTATTGATTTAAATTTATAAAACCAGTGTGAGGAAATAGTATGGTTCATCATTTAATTATCTGGAGAACCAACAGCAATTTACTGTAACCTCAAAGGCGAAGATTTATTAAATTCTAAAGTAGAACAGGGATTTTAGGTTGAATTAAAGTTGACGGTTGATTATACATTACTCCACTAAATGGGACTATAAGAACCATTAACCCACGCTCCAAACGATCATAGCTCATATGAAATAAAAGATAGATAATCCCGAAAGTTTTCTGGCTAATTTCGAAAATCTAGGAGTTTAGATGTATTAATGGTAGCATGTGAATTTAACGCCCAAGTAAGAAGAATGAGTTGGGCAAAAGCACAATTAGATGGGTTGTTTTTTTACATCAAACCCACCAAACTTCAGAACATGACTTAACGTGTCCAACTAATACTCTAAATCTAGCTGGAAATCTCTTCAATAATTTCACAGCGCATTGAACGAACATCAGTTGCGCATAACGAATGTAGAGCCGGGGAAAATGTATATCAGTCCAAGTGACCATATCACATCAGCGACAAGTTAACATGATGAACAGTGAAGGAATCGAAATAATAGCAGCAGTGTAATAAAACAATAAAATATAAGAGGCGGAAGAATTCTGAAAGAAAATTTACCTTAGATTTTGTTTCACTATAACGTGTTTGTAAACTAGTTATTGCTTCAGATATTTCCATTTGAAGATTACGATTTACTGCAGGAAAGTTGAATGATCTTTCCAACCGATTAGTTGCCATGATGATTGTATCTAGATGAGAGCAACAGAGAACAGATGAATTACTGTAAGAAAAACGCGTATAGGAAGACTTTTTCGTAAAAATTAATGATAATTACAGTATGCAATATCAGTACCAAATACTAGGCTGTATAGAAAGTGAGAGATTCGGCATCTAGATACAAATATCTATGCAATGTTGCGAATCAGATTTGTTAAAACGACTACTTGACCAAATGTAACTCATTTACCAAGTAGAAATTTATGAGGTGCGGTAGAAGTTGCACGAGAGCTAGTGATGCTACCAGCTTTGTGAACTGAAGTAAGAACCTGAGACCTAACAGTCACAAGTCGAACGCATTGACTACTGAGCCAGTGCACTAAAACAGCCATACATGTTCCAACAACACAAAACGAATTTCGGTAGAAAAAAGAACGAATGAATATCAGACATTTCATCACACACATCACGCATTCAAGTTAGTATCATTCGAACAGAAGAAAACGCTCATGTTGGATTGCTTTTTGTTAGCTGTCACTAAATATAATCAAGAATAACAAAAGATTTTAATAACAAATTAATTCCACAATATTCGAGATGGACAGTTTTTGTATCCTTTCAGAAGCAGTTATCATCTCTAAACGATTATGCTGCATACATTGGTGTGCTCAGAAGTGTATATTATACGTAATTTTACGAGTCAACAATAGACTTGACAATAACTCAATTGTGTATACTTATCAAAATGGCCTATTAATGAACGATTACTACAATGGATATTTTTTCCTAATTATTCTGCATGTTATCGTATTATGATTTTCAATGCATTTACTATAGGATATTTCAATTCACAGGTAAATTACACGTTTGCATTAATAAGGACAATTTACTGTGATATTTTTAGACAAGTATTAAGCGGTTTGATAGGAATAAAATGTGATATAAGATAACTATTGTTAACTTTTGTTGAAAAAACAAACAAACTTAGTTTTAAAATTGAAGATGAACAGTACAACGATAGGGAGGAAAAAAGAAGCTATTCGAAGACCTATAAATAGTTTAGAAGTCATACTAATTTTTTCTTTCCTTATTGATGCAAACACTATCACATACTAGAAACCAGTTGCCTCACGACACCTAGCTCAGTTCGAGTGAGCCAGGACGATATGACTAACCACCAAAGAAATGAGTACGTAAACATGTACTTGAAAAAATGAGTTATCTGTTTAGTAAAGAAAAAACACAGAAAATGCTAGACGGAGACGAAAATTTAAATGAAACCCAATTCCTGTGTACAGATTCTCGTGTTCGGTTTCAATGTACGTTTTTTGTGTAAGGGCTAATAATAGTACCCAGCTACCTACTGGTTGAAGGCTGCCTAGTGAAACTAGACAAATTGAGGCAACACACTAATAAAACTACAGAACAGTAATCTAAAGTAAAAAAAACAGTTAGTTATTTTAAATCCTAAGTATTACCAATCCAGGCAATTTAATTCGAAGCAAATCAACTTTAATAACAAATTTATGTGCTAATTCTTCATTACCAATACAGTTATTCGCAGTTATTGTTGGTATTCGACAAATATTTATATTGTTACAATATGTCCATTCAATGCTTATTTTTTAAACTGTTATGTCAAGTAAATCGACAATTTTACTTTTTAATTAGAAGAATAATTTGAAGCAATTAGTCTCTTTGATAAATTTCGATAGTGTAATAAGAAGACGAAGATTATCATAATTATGTGATATATTAGTGCAATACATTTCGAACAATCTAATCATACATATACTTGTTAAGAATAAAAGGTCAACTGGACTAGAAATAGAGGGTAAGAGGAGACAAGGGGAATAAACAAAATAATGTGAAAGAATAATAATAATTTTAATAAAGCTAAACCAATCTTCATGATATAGACTTATAAAAAATCAGACAGTATACTGTAATTGAGAAATTAACATCATATGCTATATGTATTATTTATAACTTATTCTAAAATTTAACAACCATTGACATTCAAAACAGTATTAAGACGGAAAAAACTACGTTTCATTGATACAAAACAATCATAATATGATCGTGGATAACAGATGATGTTTATTGACGTTATTCAATAAACAACCAATCAGCTAAACACTAGTAACCAACATATGATTTGGATCAAACTAATAGACTAATCAATATATTTTTATTTTACATTAGTAACAGCGTGGTTTAATACAATATAGATTAGTTTCCTCATTGTCTACATTTCAAGTGTTTCATTTTTGCTTTGTTTGAAGGTTCAACTTTAAAGACATGTAAATTATCAAATGATCTACATGAATAGGCTAAACTAAGTGTGTATTATTTTATATGATCGATATGTTAAGAAAAAATTTAAACCACAATGTTAGAACAATAAAGATGTTCGAAATAAAAGAGAACTAAAAACACAGGTTATCAAACAATGATGATTTACAATAATTCGCTATAAACAAAAGTACGAAAACAGGTGTTATCAGTTGAAAAAACATTCTAAGTGAAAGATAAAGTGCAAAGCAACATACCAATTAATTGAGGCCAAATATACGCCAATTGTGCTTCATCTGGACCATCACCATGTAAACATCCGGCTAGTAATTGTGAACAACTCTCAGGGCAGACATTATTAAGTGACTGAGCCTCGCATATAGCACAAAATTGATAACGTGTAATGCCCAAAATACATTGAGATTGAACTACAACCTGATGAAGACACAATGAAGGAAGAAAACAAACGTGTATTATTATTGTTTATTAATCATTAAACCAAAATTATGATGTATTTTAAAAAAATTTTGTCTTATCAGTAAAAGTATTTAACACTGGAATTTTTCTCCTTGGAAAACTGCTTCTTTGGAATTATTTACAAAACAATTGCGAATTTTATCTGTAACTATTCAAGTATTTTTGTGCCGGTCAAACGCAATAACTCCATGAAAATTGCACTAAAATATACGATTTTAAAAATTATTTATCTTTGATTTGTATTAAAGAGATGATAAGTTAACATTGATGGTTTCATTAGGGCTTTGCTTGGTAGTTCTTTTACTTATTTAATGACGCTTATTATCCAAGTTGGTTTGATGATAGGAATTGTAAGCTGAGAAATCATTAAAGGGTTACTCGGTAGCAAACGTATACAACTATCTAGAATTGAATAATAAATTCGAGCGAAAGTTGGCTTTGGACAGCTGAGTGGTATAGAAGCTTGGATATATTAAATACGACTTAGATAAATACTACCATATAATAACGTTCTTGGTACATTCTGTCCAACCTGAGATAAATTAATGGTTATTCCAAGGACATTAAAGTCATCGAGATTTAGAACTTTATTATTAATTTGATTGATTGACATTTTGCAAATTAAGTATTTACAGTATGGCCCTCAGATTTTACTAAGATGTTCTGTAATTTTGCGTTCAAATACATTCGAATGTTTCCACTTGTGTTCTCGTTCACTACACCAGTAGCATACACCACACTCGTCCCTCCTTTAAAGTGGTCATTCTTGCAGTAGTTCTGTTCACCGCACCACTTTCTTGTTTTCTGCAGTCTGTGCCACATTCCCCGTCAAAATGTTGAGTCTGCGTCGCGTTGACCTGCCGGGCCATCAAAATCCGACATACACCCAGCACACAGGAAGTTCAACACCTGAGCTTCAAAGACCTGCTGAGCCATCTATATTCGATGTCCGCCCAGCAGTTGCATCTCCCACCGTTCCTCTCCGCCGAGAGTATCCGCTACAGCCAACGCCACTCCTCCAAAACACTCCTTTCGACGTCACCTCATCGCATCAGCCCCCAAATGCCCTGGTACGGCCGAGAGTGGTCAGAGTCCGCTCTCCATCTCGAAATACTCTCACACGGCCACGCGTATACAGCCTCTGCCAGGGAAGTCCTACTCATTGCCTTCTCGTGGCAAAGGTGTTGTTTACGAAAATGAGAGGATGAAAAGCGAATGTCCGGCGCTTTAACTGGATCCCAAACCAATGGTGTACATGGGTTCCAGTATCCTGCGGGAACAAATGGCGTATGAACCAATCGTTGGTCACCGGCTACCATGGGACTGCATCTCCTTACGATGCTCCACTGCCTTGTGGGTTAGACCTTTAGGTCAAAGGCTCGAATGTGGCCCCCTAAGATAACCACCTGCTTCGGTCTGGGCACCCGGGTAGTATCACAGCCCACACACAAATATGATGAACTGCCTATATTTATGGAAACTACTTTACTTGCTTCAACTAACAATCAAATGATGATTATTATTATTATTTAACACATTATTCACCCTCTTTTATACTTATACAACGGCTCGTCTTTGGTGGAAATCCGACTCTATCTAAACGTTCTCGAGTCACTGTCCGGTTGAAAATTGTATGTTACCACTGAACATGAGTACTGAAGCAGTTTTTCTGAAACCACGTGCACCATTCAAACTGGCTGCCTTCAACGTTCGCACATTTATGCAGGTCGGACAACAGATAGGGCTGGCTATGTCTTTGGAAAGTCTTAATATCGATGTTGTTGTCTATCCGAGACCCGTATTCAAGACTCTGATGAAGTACTACAAATTCGCTCTCCATCTGTCGCTTCAAAAAGCTTGTTTTACGTGCGCTTATCCGGGGACCCTGTGGCATCTTCGTCTGGTCTTGCTGGCGTTGGTGTCGCACTAAGCGCTAGAGCTGAGGCAGCACTAATCGATTGGATCCCCATTAACAGTCGGTTATGTGCTGTTAGATTAGAAAGTTCCATCAAAGTGAGAAGAAATCGGCGTGAGAAACGATGTCTTTTCGTCATCTCCGCCTATGCCCCGACAGATTGCAGCCCGGATGCAATCAAGGATGAGTTTTACCACCAGTTATCTGTTCTTCTCCAGAAAGTGCGTTCGACAGATATTGTAGTACTAGCCGGAGACTTGAATGCTCAGGTCGGGCGTCTAGGCACAGAAGAGAGTCGTTTAGGTGGCCGATGGGGACTCGTTGGTCGCAGGTCAGATAACGGGGACCGTCTACTGCAACTGTGCACAGACCACAACCTGTTTCTGGCTAGCACTAACTTTCGGCACAGTCATCGCCGATGTGCCACCTGGCGTCCTCCCTCTGCATCCCAAGCCTGGACTCAGATTGATCACATCGCGATCAGCTACCGCTGGCGTGGTTGTGTACAAGACTGCCGCTCCTTTTGGAGTACCTATCTGGACTCTGACCATGCCTTGGTCTGCGCCAATCTTAGCTTACTTTTCAGTGGACAACGAAGTGACCGCCACCAACGGATTGATGTTAGCAAGCTGGTTGCAACTTCTGTTGCTAGTAAGTATCGAACCGAGCTAGTTTCTAGGCTAGCTACCACTCCACCGAAAAGTATAGATGAGCATTGGTTGCAACTGCATGACGCCATAAAAATGGAGGGTAAAGCCGCTTGAGGCTTAGCTAATTCTTATCCAATCAGCACTAGTCGATAGTTGGAGAATACTCTAGAATTTCTCATGAAAAAAACTATAAATATACTGATGTTTTCTCTATTGTGCTTCTGGCTTGCATCTTACTTCCATCTAACCTTGTTATTTGGAATATAATCTCTTTCCTGTTCAACCGTGTTCTGATTTGGGGTCTTGTCGAGTGATTTAGTGTCCAAGAATACTAAGCAATAGGAATAGCTGGGTTATAACCGTAAGAAAGAAATTATAACACAAGCAAACAAAATTTTTTTCCCAAGTACCTTTCCTTAGTGCAACAACCAGATAGTATCACTAGCCTCCACACCTGAACTGCCGCTAAAAGCCACATACATGGATATGTACATGGTAAAAGTTTCTCCTATGTTTGAGGAATTTCGCTAAAAGAAGTATTTTAAAATAAACGGAAAGTCTTGATAATACGGAGGTCGAATATATATGGCATAATAGCGCTTAAGGAAGTTCAAGAAACATGAGAAGCGAACATATCACTTGTTATTTTCAAACCACCCTATTCAGGCATTTTTTTACAGATTCCTAACATCTCAAGGATCTCAAAAAAAACTTCTTACACTTCAATATTGAACTTCTATGTGAAACCTGGTGGTCGAAGCGTGCTAATGAGTTGGAAGCAGCAGCTGCATCTGGTAACCACTGGAGGCTCTTCTAACTCATCCGAGCCACTGGCAGCAAGAAGTCTGGTGTGAGTGAAACAATCTGCGAGGATGATGGGATGCCAATCACTAACATCCATCGACGTCTTGGACGATGGGCAGAATTTTTCGAAGGGCAATTCAACTGGCCTATTGCTCCGGCAACATCAGTCAGACTGTCCTGCCCTCCATGGCAGGTGACGACTGATCCACCAAACGAGGTAGAAGTCCGTTAGGAACCCCAACTCTTGAAGTGTTGCAAATCACCTGGCCCAGATGACTTACCTCCGGCTCTTTTTAAAGATGGTGGTGAATTTCTGGCTAAGGAACTGACGACGTTGTTTACAAAGGTTTGGGAACTAGAGAGTGTACCAACGTCAAGACTTGATCACTGTCGTGACTTTCTTATGATCATTTAAATTAATTCAATTTGTTTATATGACTCAGTGACTGACAAAGCGTCAAGGTCTCCTGGACTAGGTGGGCTTTATGGACTGGGCCGTTTCGGTGAGTTTTATATTTTATATTTTTGTGGTTATTTAGTTTCTATCTCTTAATTCAAGTGGATGGCAATTTTTCATAGTGCCCTTGCGTTCTTACATTAAGTGGTTCTGTTACACTGTTTAGATGTGTTCTATTTTAATTTCCATATCTTCCTCAGAAATACGTGCTCAATTCTCTCACAAATTGAATTAGTTGACTTCTAAAAGACATGTTTGCAACATATGTACATTATTGTCAAACAAATCGCATCGTGGCTCGCAACACTTAGTTGTCAGCTAACTGATCGTTTTGTTCGGGTTTATTCCAGAACTGTTAATTATCTTTTTACTTCATTTGTCCTAATTGGGTTATTCAACACCGGCCCCTTTGTACCAATGTTTGTGTTTAGATAAACAAATAATAAGTAATTCTCCGGACGTTGGTAAACATATGAAATGATGTATAAGTACGAGAAACCAAGGCCAATTTTAACTTGGTTACACCTCTTCATAAAAGCCGATGTGTTGAATAACCTAATTAGGACAAATGAAGTAAAAAGATAAGTAACAGTTCTGACCAAAACGATCAGTGGCTAGACTCCAATTTAGGGTATGTGCTTTGCACCTTCGAAGTGCAAAGTACTTCTACAAGACTGGCAGAATTCCAATCCTGTACTCACCCCGGATGGTGAGTAGATAGAAGTAGTCGAGAAGTTCGTGTATCTAGGTAGCTGCATAAGTGCTGGTGGTGGCGTGAGTGATGAGATCAATGCAAGTACAGTGAAAGCCAGAGCGGCTTCTGCCAATCTGGGCCATCTTTGGCGCCTTCGTGATGTTAGTCTGGCTGTAAAAGGTCGAATCTACAACGCGTCGGTGAGAGCAGTTCCCCTCCACACTCGTGAAACCTGGCCTCTCCGAGTTGAGGATGTTAGACGACTCTCTGTGTTTGGTCATCGTTGTCTCCGAAGGATTGCTGACATCCACTGGCAACACCATGTTAGTAATGCAGAGGTTCGGCATCGTGTGTTCGGGCTAAGAGACGATAATCCAATTGGTGTCACCATCTTGAAACATTGACTTCGGTGACTTGGACATGTTCTACGAATGTCGTCCCAGAGAATTCCACGTCGTGCATTATTTGCCAACTCTGGAACTGATTGGAAAAAGCGGAGAGGTGGTCAGTGTATGACATGGTGTCGTGGTATGAAAGAAAGCTGCAAAGGACTGGCTTGTGTTGGTCTTTCACCACTCCCTGGCTCGGGTCCGAGAGATGGTGCGACACAGTGGCTAGAGACGTAATCAGATATGGCTCAGAATAGAAGCCAGTGGCGATCCTGCTGTAACCTTCTTTTACCTTTTTCATAAAAAGTGGTTGTATCTTCCTTAACTGAAAGAATTCTTCTGATTGTACCTTTGCGTTTCCCCCATTATTATTATTATCACACTTCCTTACACCAATCTGGTCGTTGTTGTTCTCTTTTTTTAACGCTCCTTACCTTTTTTTTCTCTTTTGAATTCTCATTGTATTGTGTGGCGCATATATATTGGTGCTCTCTTATACCAATATTTATGTGTTCAAATAAAAAAATAACCTCCTCGCATCAGGTCTCTCCAACTAGCATCTCAGCTCCAGGTCCGCAATGGCGTCCACAGATCTGCAACCTTCCTCCCCTTCTGGTTGGCAGCGACACCAAATGTAGTGAACGAGAACATAAGTGGGGACAATCCAATATATTTGAATACAAAATTACAGAACATCTTGGTAAAATCTGAGAACCAAACAGTAAATACTTCATTTGCAAAATGTCAATCAATCGTCTCAGGCTTCATTGTTCTTTCGTTTTCATACTAATCATTCTTTTTTCTTGTTCTATTTCTTTGATCTTCTTAACCTTCTGCCTCCAGGCATCTCACTTCCGATCGGCGATACATACTACTTATATCTGTCGACGTCAGTAGCACACACCACACTACTACTATTTAGATTCATTTGTTATTAATTTTATCTTCCTATGTCGTGGTATGACAACTAGAGCTGATGAACATCTATAGCAGATTAAACGTTAATTGCGACTGACTTAAAAAAGGACTTACAAATCTTTGACAGGCATTCAGCACAATATTGTGGATTATTCTGTTATAATGTGGTTGAAGTAGATCAGTAGGAAGTTTTAAACCTAGGTTTTATGTTATCTGCAACTCGCTGACAAGGCATATATACATTCTTGGGGTCAATTGTGCTTCCAGTGACAATAGAGCCAACATTACAGTTGTAGTTGGAGACACTATAACTTAGATACTCGGGAAGTGATGGACTTCCAGCATGAATGAAGAATTTTCACTGGATGACTACCAAGTCACATAGTGAGCACAAGTATCCTCAAGATCACCGATGCGCCTAGTTGATGAGTGTCAACTAACATGAAACACGTCCGAATATTCTGGATTATTTGTTGAAGATTGCATATGTACCTGGTTGATGTGCTGACTAATACGATATCTATGTTTCGACTTTATTTCTTAATGCACCAAATTACCTGGTAGTTTTAGTTTTGAGGAGACATCTAGTATATATATTAGTTTTTGAAGCGCACAGATCAACTAAACATTGATAATATTATTAACAAAATATTTATTTACACACTAAAACGTATTAGAAAGTATATGCTTGAATGTTACATATAACAGAAATAATTTAAGGGTACAATTTTGGTGAACATTTTACAGTATCATGATTTTTTTCGGGAAAAGCAACAAGTAACGTATACTACATTAACATTTTGTTAACAAACAGCATCTAACTGAATAAAAGTGATTTAATGATCAGATTGTAATTCAATTTGTGAATTAGCAGTTTACAATGATATTCGTTTTTCTCTTATTCAATTGAAAAAATATTTTTATTGAATCTAGTCGTCTTTGCAATGTAGTATGTGAACATGAAAATTCGTAGATCAGATTACCTTTATACAGTTGATAACCGGTGTTTTCTAACATAATTAACAAAATTTATCAGTATCTTAACAACTGACACCATTAGTTGTAGAGTAAGAAGTTTATTATTGTTTACTGTAAAACCACTAGGTTTTCAAACTAGGATAAACACTAACAAACTTTTAATAATAATAAACTTTCAAATAGACACTTCAGAAATTCGTATCATATTGAGAGTGAAAATTGTTTTTCACGTTATTATTGTACCATGTGATTGTAAAGATTGACAGAAAGCAAGATAATAAGAAATGTCTCGTTTTCCTTAGACTTATCCTAGTTAGGACCAGTGAAGAAACTATACATACATGTAATGTAGTATTTGAAGTATGAAGTCTTCCAAGTAAACGTTCTTTTCAAACGTTTTCTTATTTCTTAGATAGTCTCTTAGATGAAATCCATGAACTATCACCGAACAAAAAATTAAGCAAATGTTTGTGTTGCATCAAAGAAATAAGGAAATAAACAAATACCTGATCAACCAGATAGTGTAATAATTTGCTGGTAACGGATAAAATATTGACCAACATACGAGCGGGTGGATAAGCTTCCAACATACGAGCGTGAAGTCGGACATCTACATCATCAAATGGATGTAACTGCGCAATCTTTTCAGATAAACAACGAATTCGCCTAGATTCACTAGCTTCATCAGTACCACCAACCCAGGAAGACTGTTACCAAACGAGCCAGTGTTAGGTGAAACCGAGCTGAAAGGAGGATTGGAATTAACCTGTCCAGATTTTTCAATCAAACTAACTATACTGTCACGAAGTTGACTGAAGAAATTTTTGATTAACACACCGAGCTGACCCCGCTGACCTGCCATATATTGTCCTAAATCCGTGAAAAACCCGGAGAAGAAATTTCTATGCAATTTATAATTGTATCCATAAATCCGACTGAAAAATTGATGTAAACGTCCTTTAGCTTGTTGTAAATCAGCTTGAAAAATTGCTGAGTAGAAAAATAAATAAATGAAGACCGACTAACTGTACTGTGTAGAATTAAAAGATAATAAACAAAGGAGGTAAAATATTTAGAATTACTGCAGACCATTTTCTCAGCACCACGAACAGCTAAGTTATATGAGAATAAAATGTACGAAATCTTTACTCTTGATAAAATCTGAGTCCATCATTACCGCGATTGTTGCCTTGATAGTGGTCAGGCTTGTATACCGTGATGGTTCAATAAAGTTGTATTCCTTGAACTGCTTGTTCTGAAGTTCTACTATGTTGAGAATACCTGTTGTAATCCCAAAAGTCAAACATTTTAAGTCAGACAGCGGGGTTGTACTGACATCTGTACTAGTGTGGTCAAAGGAGGGCGTTTCCTACAGATAGCCAATATTTCCACTCTACTTTCCCATATACAGAAGTAGGGGTTAGAGGCTGGTTACTAAGATGATACAAACATTCCATATGAATGGCTGGTGGTGGTTTAAAAAATACATGCTTAAGATAGAAAAAACTACTCAAAAAATGATATGTATGAACGGCCTCAAAACTGATGCACCTTGACCACCACTACTAGCCAATGTTTTTCCAGACCCTGCAAGAACAACTACTATACGAAATGGGTAATCAAGAAGTGTCAACTACCCGTACAAATTTAACACAACCGGAGCTAATCATATTGTTAATCGAACCACTTTCCCGGTTTTTGATAATTTTGGTTTTATTATCTACCCTTCTGCTCTGACTTGATTTCATGTGTAATCATTGCTAACGACTCGAGTTTACAAAATGTTAGGCGGGAACTTGTGGTATTTCACGATAGAGTGAAGATAACAGTGGTCGTCTACTGAATTTATGTTCAGATACCTATTTTTTGAAAAACACTGACTTGAAACGTGGAAAGAAACGTTTTCTAATCTAGAGAATGCAATATACTTACAGAAAAAAACAGATAAACTATATTACTAACGGTCCTATTTGAAAAGGCTGTACAAAAGGCTGTTACTCCTGTAGTATATATCTGAGCCTAGACCACTCTCTAGTGTGAGCACACATTTGTCTTAGCCTTGCTAAAAGGATGAAAATTGCAGCAAAAAGACATTCTTGGACTTGGCTAAAAGAAAATGCAAAGGGTTGTTTTTAAGGAAAAACTGACAAGGCACTTAGTCTACTACAAAGGTGATGTTCACCCTGAGATAGTCTGGTGTAAAAATAGCATTAGCCTATGTAAGCAATCAAAGCCGAAAGGTTAAGACCAATAGATCTGAGATACCATGACACTCATATTAGAACGGTGTGAACAGGATGAGTAGCAAGTAATATCGATTGTGGATTAACAGAAAGCTAGCGAAATGACCAGTAGTAATGGTAGGGTGGTAAAGCAAAGGAAATGGAAAAAGGTAGTATTGATAGGTACCAATAGACAACTGCACAAACTTGTTGAAGAGATGAAGGCTAAAAGTTATTCATTAAGGAAACTGTCTGAAGAAGGCGAAGTCGTGATCTACTCCGAGACTAGATGACAAGAACGAAAAGTCAAACATTTGAAGGAAACGGTTCAATATACATCCGTTTCCTCATTTTTGTCAGTAGATTCGGTAGGATATGTATATTTTAGAACACGAAAGTAGCTTTATTTAACAATTATTACTAGCTATTCAGTGTTTCAACACTTCATTGACCAGAATCGCATAAGACTTACATTCAAGCACGGCACTATCATTGCTCATTTTCCAGGCAACTTTTAACCATGAGTTGGTTTGCTTTATAAGTTGACGCTGACCCACTGAGTACATTTCATGTTCCATGCTTACATCACAACAGGAAGTACCGGTTACAGGACAAATGTTTGATGTAGGACCTTCAAAAATAAGAAAATAAAAGTTGTTGTATCCTACCAATGATAGTTGAACTATGAACTCCTGTTAGTATAGTATACCGTAATTTCATCCATTCTTGTTTGAAGGTGGTGCAATCAAGAGCATATGCTGATGTGCACAATGTCACTATTAGTAAAATGCTTCCGGAAGTTCGCATAACTTCAAAGCTAATCATTGCAGAGACACTTTATGAAGAGCAACAGTAATAAGAGCAGGAATACAGGGGACACTAGTGGTTCATAATGATAAATGCTAAAAGAAAAAGAAAAATATAGGCAAAGAAATTTGTTAAAAACCCAAACTTTTGAGTAGGTTGTTTAGCAAATTAAAATAATCACGTACTCGCATGAAGTTTAACTTTATGCTCAATGGTTATTTAATTGCTGAGATACCGTAAGTGTTAAGTTTTAAATGATACTTCCAACTTATAAAGCACTACAATAAAAAATATACACTAAGTATTAGTATTCCAGTACAGTACGTATTCATGTCAAGCGACAGAGTCGTTTAGAAATAAAACAATAACAACTTGGACGAAAGATGTGTTGGGTTATTGACAGTTCAAGAATAAAATAAATGAGGAATAAATATGGAGGACGGTCCTCAAGTTCATGACTTAGGAAACTACCTATTGTTAGGACCCAAGGCTATTTCCTTTGTTATGAATAACAGTGATTAGTTGGTGAGATCGCTTTTATGAAGTAAGACTCTATTTTCATACTTTACACACCGATAAATTATATTTTACAAATGCTGAAATCTATAATGCTGACTAGGAAATGAAAAGGCTAGAAAAACTAAAAACGGCACTGAATCAATTTATAAAGCCCCTGATTCCATATCAATTATTATTTATTTATTTATTTGAACACATAAATATTGGTGCAAGGGGGCACCAAATATATACGCGCCACACAAAACAATCAGAATGGGAAGAGAAAAATGAAGGTGAATAGCGTAAAAGAGAAAAAAGAAGAAGAGGAACAATAACGACCAAATTAGTGTAAGGAAGTGTAATAATAATAATAATAATAATAATAATGGGGGAAACGCAAAGGTACAATCAGAAGAATTCTTTCAGTTAAGGAAGATACAACCACTTTTTATGAAAAAGGTAAAAGAAGGTTACAGCAGGATCGCCACTGGCTTCTATTCTGAGCCATATCTGATTACGTCTCTAGCCACTGTGTCGCACCATCTCTCGGACCCGAGCCAGGGAGTGGTGAAAGACCAACACAAGCCAGTCCTTTGCAGCTTTCTTTCATACCACGACACCATGTCATACACTGACCACCTCTCCGCTTTTTCCAATCAGTTCCAGAGTTGGCAAATAATGCACGACGTGGAATTCTCTGGGACGACATTCGTAGAACATGTCCAAGTCACCGAAGTCAATGTTTCAAGATGGTGACACCAATTGGATTATCGTCTCTTAGCCCGAACACACGATGCCGAACCTCTGCATTACTAACATGGTGTTGCCAGTGGATGTCAGCAATCCTTCGGAGACAACGATGACCAAACACAGAGAGTCGTCTAACATCCTCAACTCGGAGAGGCCAGGTTTCACGAGTGTGGAGGGGAACTGCTCTCACCGACGCGTTGTAGATTCGACCTTTTACAGCCAGACTAACATCACGAAGGCGCCAAAGATGGCCCAGATTGGCAGAAGCCGCTCTGGCTTTCACTGTACTTGCATTGATCTCATCACTCACGCCACCACCAGCACTTATGCAGCTACCTAGATACACGAACTTCTCGACTACTTCTATCTACTCACCATCCGGGGTGAGTACAGGATTGGAATTCTGCCAGTCTTGTAGAAGTACTTTGCACTTCGAAGGTGCAAAGCACATACCCTAAATTGGAGTCTAGCCACTGATCGTTTTGGTCAGAACTGTTACTTATCTTTTTACTTCATTTGTCCTAATTAGGTTATTCAACACATCGGCTTTTATGAAGAGGTGTAACCAAGTTAAAATTGGCCTTGGTTTCTCGTACTTATACATCATTTCATATGTTTACCAACGTCCGGAGAATTACTTATTATTTGTTTATCTAAACACAAACATTGGTACAAAGGGGCCGGTGTTGAATAACCCAATTAGGACAAATGAAGTAAAAAGATAATTAACAGTTCTGGAATAAACCCGAACAAAACGATCAGTTAGCTGACAACTAAGTGTTGTGAGCCACGATGCGATTTGTTTGACAATAATGTACATATGTTGCAAACATGTCTTTTAGAAGTCAACTAATTCAATTTGTGAGAGAATTGAGCACGTATTTCTGAGGAAGATATGGAAATTAAAATAGAACACATCTAAACAGTGTAACAGAACCACTTAATGTAAGAACGCAAGGGCACTATGAAAAATTGCCATCCACTTGAATTAAGAGATAGAAACTAAATAACCACAAAAATATAAAATATAAAACTCACCGAAACGGCCCAGTCCATAAAGCCCACCTAGTCCAGGAGACCTTGACGCTTTGTCAGTCACTGAGTCATATAAACAAATTGAATTAATTTAAATGATCATAAGAAAGTCACGACAGTGATCAAGTCTTGAGAACAGTGGCTATTTCTACTGATGTTAAGCAGTGCTATTTACTGATGGCTATGTTGATTGGATGTACATGATTTAGTACCAGGGTTCCAGTGATATACTATTCATGTTTTATAATTTGTACACTATCTCTGGTATTTTGACTTATGTTGTGGGATGTCTCACAAGTGTTCTTTAATGTATTTTCCCCCTAGCCATTGCCTCGTAACGCTGATTTGGATCTACACTCACACGTCTTCAGAATCTAAACATTTTAGGTATGTGAGGTAGTTGTTGAGGGCTTGGAAAATCCAGACGGTTTCACTGGTTCGCTATTAGATATATTATTATTCCACCTATAGAACGAAACAGCAGGGTTTTCCTTTTTATTTCTGAAGGACCCTGTAAATCCGCATTGATATATAACACCCAATAATAGTTGGGTTGACTGCAGAGTGAAGCAATTTATACTGTAATTACGATAAATTACGTGTTCACGACTGTGTAATTCTCCTTTTAATGCGAGTGATCAACTTGTGTTTTTCAATGGTGAGTGGTTTTCGAAAACGAATGTTTATCTGAGATCAATCAGTACTGTTAGAGGAATAACACTGAGTGCTAACTACATGATAGTGTAAGCCGAATGTACCCTACCTCATACATTTTACTTCCGGACGCTGAATGAAAACTGAAACATAGTAGGGGTTAATAATGACCCTCGTGAGAAGACTGCTAAGGTGGCATGGTTCGGTCAAACAAGAGCAATAATTATATGTATCATTAGTCTTTCTATTAAATATATTTTAGCGCTAAGATTATATCTATTCTTCAGAAGTTCTTACGAAGCCTCACACTGACAACTTTGATGAGGCAAGTCAAGACAGAAATACGACTTGACGTCGAAGTAAGGTTATATAGATTAGGCAGTCATATCGCTCCAGGTTCACATTATTAGATTCGGTTTATTACTTTGGTACCACTGATGTGTACACCGATACCGACCTGTGACCTTGCAACAGCTTAGGTTGGTTGGTTAATAGTCCACCTCAAACAACTAAGCATATGTCAAAACAGTATATTTCAAGTATTCATTCACTTCCTTATTTAGTATAGGCTTCATATTTCCTATTATCTTATATTGAATGTTGAGACGCCTTGTTTATCTGAACAGATAATCCTACGTTCCATTGTGACTGTGCGAAGATGAAAATAAAGACCTACTCACTACCAGTCTGCTTTCTTCTACCAATAGCACGAGGGTTACCTACAGACAGGAAAATCTAAATCCTTTGATTATGGACTCAACTAAGGAAATGTAATATGTTATGTATCCTCATATTTTATTACAATCGCATATATTTGGTCTTACTTCTTAGTCCATTGTCGTATTGCAGTAGGGATTGGTATTCACGTTCAGCTTACCGAATCGATGGATACAGATTGCTTAGCAACTACAGTTTTGTTTGGCTATTACGGTTCATCAAAAAGTTTTGGTAGCATTTACAAGCACCGATGAAATTAGTTTGTTGAAATATAGACCAATAGGAATTATAAATTCAAATAAATATAGAAGCATAAGTGCTGGCGATGTATGTGGGTAAAGACCAAACGACTGTCTTGAACTGACTTCTCATGTTTCTTTGCATTGTGGACTACCCTTTTCTTTCGACCACTTCGTCATCAATTTACGATTAGTGATTTCTACTTTCAGATAGAAAAGAAATGTAGTCAAAAATTATTGAAATTCTTGGCAGTTATTATGGTGCTTATGGTTGCTTTCCTTTAAACTGGTTACATATTTTGTCGAAGAAACTTTACCCCTTATAACCTAACGCCGACAACAAATATATTTAAGAGCTTTCTTAGAAAACGTCTTACCAAATATTTTGCATCCAAGAAGAAGGACTCTAAATTCCTTATTGTTTCGACACTATGTGGTATTTTATTTGTTGTTACTGTATATTTGTAAATGTTGTGGACTAACCGAACTTCGGTAAATTTTCTAATCTTGCAAATCCACTTTACCTGCTACTCAGCCTGTACTCAGTCTTCTACCAAAGTAAAGGCCTCAACAGGCCCAAACACTGCAGTCTGCGTATCTCTGCCATGTTACCAGAATCCCAGTGAAAACTGCAGAAGTTTTCAGACATTGATACATTTAAGCTAGTGTTAGTGATGTGACTGAACAGTCGACGACTGACTTTGTAGATTGTAGACCCCAGGCAACCAAACTGTCCCTCATGCAGTGAAAATTGCTGGTGACAGCTAGGCACTCCGGACAATTAGACATCAGCCGTTATCTAAGGCCTAAATGCTCTCAAACACATTACAATACCTTAACATATGACATAACATTGATAAGCAATAATTAGTCTACTAACCAGAGGACCTTGGTGACGACCGATCAACCATGAAGCCTCCTGTTGAAAAACAAACAAAAAACACATTTACATTTCAGTAGTAATAAAACCGAAGTAATGGGTAAGGTTGGTCTATTAATTGGTTTATACTCGGTTTCACACCAGCTGCACACTCGATATTCTGCTATCTTGACGAATCTATGTGGTGCCCAATTTCTCCACCCAGTATTTAGACCTACAAAAATTTAGGTTGTTACACCGCTTCAATACTCAAAGGAAGTCAGAGCAATTATCCTACCAGTCAGTAATTTTTCTTTCAGTACACTGTTAAGGTGTAGAGTTTTTGTCTGGAGCACCGTTTGCAGCTGTCTCAGGAAATTATTTATCTTCCAAGGACAAAGATTTGGCGGAGTTCTCAGGAATAGGTGCTGAGGCCATCGCTCGTTACGGCATTCGTAAGCGATCTTCACCTTAGATGTCTTTCTTAATGTTTGTGGGGCTAATGGAAGGTAATCTTGCCGTAGCCAAATAATCCATTGGGCAGTGAGTGCCAATCGATTTACTGATCCTCATTATTGTCAACCACTACCAACACGCATCAATCAATTTTGTGTCACGAACAGGCTCATACGGCAGTAGTTCCACACGAATTTCTGCAACATGTTGATACTAACATATGCTGATGCCTATTGGGAGCGTTTGTTCTAGCAAGTCGTTTAGGAAGTCACTTCACATGGTCACCATGATAGCATAATCTAGGTGATCTATTGATTTGGAGTTGCGATTTCGACGTAATCCAGGTCAAACGATTTCTGCCCAATCCGAGTAGGCCTGTCATTATTCACAAAGGCCACCTGCTTTAGTGATACACATGTTTCTTCATGGCAACGATGTAAAGCTCGCAAAAAACTTCGATAGGTCTCAAATAAGTTTTCAAGTCTGGTGGATAATAATTGATTCGCATTTATGTCTAGAAGTTACAAATTATCTTTTTTGGATAAAAGCAAACTGCGTTCTTTGTTTGGATAAATATCCATTCGAAGTATCACAAGCAGAACAACGTTAAAGTTTCTTGATCCCCTGGGGTCTGAAATTAGGTGTTGAATGTTAGGCCAATAAAACTGAAGTGCTATTTTAGAAAACTTTTGTGGTAAACAGATATACCATGACGTCTAAATCATAAGCTAGCTTGTTACCAGATTAGATAAGCCCTATGATACATTGAAATGTGATCTGATTTGTACGCCTGAATAAGAGCCTTCAGCTAGTGGTGTGTTCTGCAAGATCGGTACAGAAATATGTCAAAGCTACTTACCTTGGGTGAATATTTACAGCTACCATAGACTCGGGGTTGGTTTGATGATGGATTTCGACACTGCAGGATCCTCTGGAGATAATCCAAGACGTGTAAGTACGTTTTTGATTTCAGGTGTAAAACCCTGTAGTGGCATTGGACAATAGCCACACAATCCACAAAGCTGTGAACACGAGACTACTCAGAAAATAGATATTCAATATTTAACGCGGAGAAATACCTTACAATGGAGAAGGCGCGAACAATGAATTTGAATGGACTGAAGTTGGTCGAGTGGCATGGCTCGGCCATGCAGGCGTGGTCTCAGCTGAATGTTACCTTATATCTTTTATTCATATTAAATATATTGTTCTTTCTCTAGACTAACCTTGTTCTACATCATGTATTGGTAATTGATACGATACAGTGAGTTGGTGTAGTCGATGGTGTGACTTCCACGTAAGGTCTTATAGATTAGGCAGTTATATCATGACAAATCTACAAATTTAGGATTAGGTCTATTATTAGAGCAGTACTAATATCATAGTAGACCATAATTCTACAACCCTAAGGTTAGATGTCAGGTGTAAGAGGTCAATTTGTGAACATAACTACAACCCTTCAAGAGTGGACATTTCTTATTATTTCTTACCATCTAATGTTGTTCAGGAAACTTCCTCGGAAAAAGGAGACGATTTTATTCTTTCTAAAGGATTCAAAGGAGAATCCTATGATGGTTTGTCAAGCGTTTATTCGTTCGAGCTTTTTTATTCCTGTGCCTGAGTCCTTACTGTAAATTTGAGCGAAGGAAGTCAAATACAAACATTTGCCGTATTTGTGACCTGCATTCACTTGTATGGTAATATAAACATCTGAGATACGAACTGGAAATGGCTTATGTGCCGCAATTATAGGTGATATGATATTGCACGATGCTTTCAGCCTAATCTTACGTGGAAGTTGTATTATTATATTATACACTGACTCGTCGTTCATGACAACTGAGAAAATGATACTTCGTACATCTAAAGAACCCATTTGGGTTGGGAATAGAACAATATATTTAATGTGGATAGTAATAAGTTTCACATAATGACTACGTCGGCAAGGTTCAACCGTGTCATCCAACTTAATGAATGCTTCTGAGTTCAGAATCTCTGAACTTCTCTTAGTGTTACAATATGAAAGCGAATTTTCTTAGTAATTGTACGTCCAGCTTCTAAGACTGTGTGGTTAGGATCCAATACCACTACAGCTATATACTACGAATTACAGAATGCTTCGAGCAAAAACTCTTGATGTTCCAATCACAACGATTCTAAGCCTGTTAAAATAATTAAATCATTTAAACATTCTGATTATCAAAAGCGGGAATTTCAGTAATCCAGTTATGTAAAGAATACAAACCATTGTGGTGGACCAGACGATATATAAACGCAAAAAGTATCAACAAAGTTAATAAAGATAAATAGAAATGTTAATATATATAAGTTAGTTATTACAAATACAATAGAATGTTGGGACTTTACTTAAGTTCACCAAATTGATGCGTGTTCAGCTTTAGTCTGGTACAGTAAATCCACAATTATAAATGCTTGGTAATTCCAATCGGGTTGACGAACTCTCCAGTGATATAATCCAACGTAGTATGTGATATATTCCAATTACAGTCTATAAATGTAGATAGTATTTGATTTAGACTTCAGTTGACTCAATCACAAACGAAGATAGAACAAGGAATGTGTGGGAAGCAGTGTATTTGTTAGCCAGCAACAGTATGTCACGCTATGTCAGTATCCCAACGGAAAGTGTGTTCAAGGTCATTTACTAGAACAAAGTCACAGTCATTTACTGTTAAATATACATACAATGAAAGGTTGACAAAATAAATACAAATAACGCTGAAAACTATTTACAAATTAAGCTTGTCAGGCCTGTCTCCACACCATGAAATCCATTTCTATCAGTGAAATACAAAACTACGAGGTTCCTAATTTTTTTGCAAAATGAATTCTATTACAAATAGTCGCACAACTTTCGATTTGTTTATGTGCCCAGAAACATGGAAACACGAGTGTTCATATGGCGCTCACTCTAACTGATAATGGAAAGTAGTGCGAAAGTAAAGGAAGTAAGTATGACCTACAACCTCATCACAACTATTTTTTGTCGTTTCGATTTTTTCAGAATAGTTCATAGTTCTGAACTCATACTTAGCTTCCATAGTATAAAATTGTCCAACGTACTTCAGAATGCCAATGTTTAGGACTTTTCAAGTTATAATTTCACTAAAAGCGACAGTTGACTCCAATGAACAATTTTTTCTATCTCTATATGCTGGTATTATCCCTAGGTTCTTAGTGTTTAAATGATATAAAATAATGTAAGAATTGTATAGTTGGTTTATATATATGTATAAGAAGTTATGCTTATGTGATAATAATGATTTCACTTTTTAGTAAGCGGTATGCATACAACTTAGTAATTTATGTTGTCAGTTATTGCGATTCAATCTATTTGATGTAGTCAGTCGCAAATTCTTAATCAGTTATTCACTTATATATATATATATATATATATATATATATATATATATATTATATATATATATATATATATATATATATATATAAACTATAAATTTGTCTACTGGCCAAATAAATAAGTCATTTATAATTCCACTTATTTTGATATATTTTTCTGATCGGTGTTAAAATTTGTGGTTGTATCTGTCGTAGAATTTTTCGCGGTGTGTATTAGTTGTTGTCTGCAGCGATGCGTTTTTTATATAGAGAAGTGTTAGTCCTTGTTCACTCATATAGGAGGCAGGGAATCAATCGTGACCGCAGTTATACCAAGTAGCCGCCCCGATATTTTGTTCATGTACAATAACAATAAATAAATAATCTGGTGTTTCTTCAAAAATGTCATTGCATCATCTAGGAAGCCATACAAAAACCAAACTATCAGTTAGTACACCAATGAGTCAAGTGAACAGTTGTTTAGACATTATTTCATCAAAAAATTGGTTCACCAAGGTATAGGATTGTCAAAATGTGATATGCTGAGTCGATAGATAATTCTGATGTTGATATTTTGCATCCAAGACTTAGTAATGACAAGTAAAGTTCAGTTCGGTTCATGAAAATATCGGTTCATAGATTCAAAATATCTTGTTAAGTACTTTATTTTGTGGTTCATAATGCAGTGTTAGATCGCTTTATTCAACCTATCTTCGCCAGCTGTATGACTGCACCCTCTGTTTATAAACCGCCAAATTGAATTTTAGTTTTGTTAGATAGTTTGGTGCCTGTTAAGTAAGTAAATACTATTGGTGATTAGTTTTTCGTACTAGATACGTTAAAAATAATGCTCATGCCAATAAAATTGTAGCGAGTGTTTTTATATTAATCATATTATGACGAGACTGCAATTTATGGACGAACAAATAAGATTTGGGAAAAAAGGTCTTGGAGTTTGGTGCAAAATTCATTCATCCATTTGGCTAAGTAGCATTTTGGCATATTGGTTGATGTCATTTCATAACGAAAACCCTAAATCTGATTCCTGATTCTAACCGTCAACTGTAAATCATAATTCTACTTCCTAACACTGCTTTAAAACTCATTTATTACTAGTTAGTTGGTGGACGTCCACAAGAACACTTTAGCGTCGCTCAAATATCGTCCGAAGTCATCAATGCATTCTTTAAAATAAAGGAGGGAATCACACTGAATATTATCCAATGTGATGCACCCACTAATGATAGAAATAAAAACGACAAATATCAGATTTACGAAAGGCTGTAATTGATCACAGTGAAGTACCAGGGAAACGACCGAACCATTCTGATGGGAGATCTAAACTCCGACGACGGAATGGATAACACCGGATACGAATATATCATTGGAAGAAATGAACTGACCGAGAGAAAGAAACGAGAATGGTGATCGATTTGCAAATTTATGCGCGTTCAACAAAGGGGTTATAGGTGGCACAATATTATCTCACAAACGCATGCAAAAAGCTACAAATGTTTCATCGTATCACACTACATAGAACCAGATCTGTCATCTAAATGTGTGTCTGTTCTAGGACTTGACCTAGTGTGAATATCTGGTCTATACAGCTACTTCCAGGTGGGAGAGTTGCAAATTTATGTGCGTTCAACAAAATGGTTATAGGCGGCACAGTATTTCCACGCAAACACATACACAAATCTACATGTGTTCAATTGGGTTAAACTACACAGAACCAGATCTACCATATTTGCATCACTTAAAGATTCAGAAGGTCAATAGAAGACGTGTGAACCAGGAGAGGAGCTGACATAGCTTGAGATCACCGCTAGCTGGTGGTTGCCAGGATGAGGCTGAAGCTAAAGAAGCACTGGGCAACTGGACAAATAACATTAGGAAGAGTCAGTAGACTATTTTTCGAGATAATGACAAACTCAACGAATTCAAGATGGCTCTCAACAACAGGTTACAAGCCTTACAAGATCTACTCAAAGACGAAGAAACTACTATGGAGGAAAGGAATGAAAGAGGCACTAACTACAACTTGTCAAGTGGTCCTGGGTCGCAAGAAGCATCATCATGAGGAATGGGTCTCTGTGGAAACTGTGGACAGGATTCAAGAAAGGAAGAAAAAGAAGAAGAAGACAGCAATTGAAAACAGTCGAACAAGAACGGAGCAAGTCAATGCACAAGCTGAATACAGAGACGCAATCAAGCAAATGAAGGGGAGCGTTCGGTCTAACAAGCAGAAATATGTGGAAGATCTAGCAATGACAGTGGAGAAAGTTGCAAGAGAAGAAAATATGAAACAACTGTGTGATACGACGAAGAACCTGATAGGGAAATATAGTGAACCAGAGAGACCAGTCAAGCACGAAGAAGGCAGGCCAGTCACCGAGATTCAAGAACTGATGAACATACGGCGGAGAACACTTCAAGGAAGACTTGAATAGACCAGCCCCATTGAATCTACCGGACATCGAAGCAGCACCTACAGACCATCCTATGGCTGTCACTGTAAAACGATGGAAGAAATCAGGATGGCCATCAGAAAAATGAAGAGTAAGAAAGCAGCGGGACCTGACAACATACCAGCCGAAGCACTGAAGTTGAACATAGAAGCAACCGCTTACATGATCCATGTTTTATACAGGATGATTTGGGAGGAAGAACAATATACAGAGAAAGGATATCTGAGGAGGTGCGAGTACTACAGAAGCATCACACTACTATCGGTAACAGGAAAGGTTTGTACAGAGTGTTTCTGAACCGGCGAAAGATTCAGTAGACGTCCAATTCCGAGACCAACAGACCGGATCGCAACACTACGGATCATTGTCGAGCAATCAATCGAATGAGATTTGTCACTAAACGTCCGATTCCTTGACTGTGAGAAAGCATTTGACAGCGTGAACAGGAGAACCTTATCTAACCTTCTCCGACACTATGGTGTGAGTAGGTGACGAAATCTTCAACATCATACGGAATTGATAGGACGGACCAAGTGCAAAGTGGTGCAGTTAGGACAGCTGACCAATGTATTCTAAATGAGGATCGGAGTCAGGCAAGACTGCTTACTCTCCCCCTTTCTCTTTCTTCTGGTGGTCGACTGGATTATGAAGACCTCCATATCTGAGAGGAAGCACGGAATACAATGGAAAGCTTGGGTGCAACTAGACGATTTGGACTTCACATATGACCTGGTACTTCTATCCCATACACACAAGCGAATGCCGATGAATACAACCTTCATCTGAAAGGCACGGATATTTATAATCAATTGTCTACGTAAGCTACTGAATGTCCGTTGACTGGAAACCATCAATATCAGCCTACTGTTTGAGGGAACAAACTAATTGACATCGAAACAGGAAATGAGTAAAAGACTTTGGATATGTATTTCAACATTGACATGCTTCTTTCTTGTTTTCTAAGATGGCTGAAAAAGATGAAAAACTGACGAAGTTTATCATTAACAGAAACTTTCGTTAGTAATTTTTTCGTCGCTGTATTGTATATAAGTGCAAGACGACCCTATGCTGTTAAACATAGCAAGCTGTCAGAAGTTTTCATCGACTGCAAGCTATCCGAATAGTGTTCACCGATTGCAAGCTCGTTTAGTTTAAACTTCTGCCTATCTACATCTTACGGTCATCACTACCCCACGAGGTGCGGTGAGCTGCGTTGGCAAATAAATCCGAAAAATAAATAGTTCTGTAAGTCCGCAACGTTAATGCTGACCTCATTAATTTTACAGGACACATACTGACTGAGGGCACCCGGTCACGCATTCACACCACATCACGAGTATGTATACCGTGCTACGTATCCATTGTAACTACTAGTCAGCTTATATCAAATGCTACTGAACAACAAATCGAAAACCTTTAAAATATATCTTCGAACTCATTCTTACCTGACTTCTGATTTGACTCGGTTGGTATCCTTCCATTATGAAAGCGTTACGTGTAAATTCGATGTCAAAATTCTGAGACTATAAATGTTATTAATGAGTTGAAAAAACTTGGCGATATATCAATGTTAATGCATCTGGACCTCGATTCCCCCTCAATTTTATGATAGAACACTTCACAAAAAATATATGTACAAACTATTCCGTGGTTAGAGTCAGCGATTTACCCGAAAAAATAGTGTGAGGTTTGCTGAAGACATTTTCTCTCGAATCTCTCGAAAGAGAGCATGATATTTATTTTGCCTTATAGGTATCGATGCATCCGTTTTTTACTGATAAATAAGGATGTGGTGTACAGTATTTTGGCGCGGTTCTCGTCAAATTTACTAGTTGTGTGCACATAAATCTGTAATCCTTATTTAAGTTTTCTTTTAAGTTATGCCTATTTGCCAGTTTTGAGCATACGAGTGTTGCTCATCCTAACATACTGTACGAAATATACAGACATTGTAAAAATTATATTCTTACATGGTGTACTCAGCCACTAAAGTGTAGAAAAATGCAGGATTAAACGCACTTAGTGAATACTGAGAGTAGATAGTGTATTTCGTTTCGCAAAAACATAACAAGGAACATACGTTTCCATCATTAAGAATGTTTTTGTTCTACCAAAATGCGGATTCCAACTGAAACGGCTCGTTATTCCCAATAGGCAAGGTTGAAGCTAATATAGTGTGTAAACATTGTTTCCATATATCACATATCTGATACTTCGGAATTGACGGTAATGAGAATATGCTCAAATGCAACCAGTTTAGCGTCAGCCTCTGCATCAGTAGGCCTCAACATACACAGGGGAAGAAGCAAGGTACTGAAATACAACACGGAGAACACCAGGCTAATCGCAGTTGATGGAGGAGCTCTGGAAGAGGTGGAACGTTCCACGTACCTGAACAGCATCATCGTTGAACAAGGAGGATGAGATGTAAACGTTAGGGCGAGGATTGGCAAAGTAAGGACAGCACCCCCACAGTTGAAGAACATTTGGAACTCAAAACAAATGTCAATCAATATCAAAGTGAGAATCGTCAATTCGAACCTCAAGACAGTTCTACTGTACTGAGCTGAAACTTGGAGAACTACCACAACCATCGTCAGAAAGGTACATATATTTATAATCAATTGTCTACGTAAGCTACTGAACGTCCGTTGACCGGAACCCATCAACAACAGTCTACTGTTTGAGAGAACAGACCAGTTTCCATCTGAAGAGGAGATAGGTAAAAGATGTAGTATATGGATAGAAAATACATTATGGAAATTATCGAAGTGCATCACGAAACAAGTGCTAACTTGGAATCCTGAAGGTAAAAGAACAATTGGAAGAACAAGGAACACATTGTGTCGGTAATTGGAAGCAGACATGTAAAGGATGAATAGCAACAGGAAGCAAGTAGGTAGGCGAGTCCAGAACAGATTTGGATGGAGAATGCTGGTGGGTGGCCTATGGTACTTTACGACCGGTAACAGGCGTAAGTAAGTGATTAAGTATATTCTAAAGTATACAATTTTAATGCAGCATTACTTTGTTAAATGAATTAGGAAAGAAGCTAAATTTCTATTTGTTTAAAATTTATTATTTTAATATTATAGAAGCTTATTAGTGAAATAATTTCTTTACTTTTTGATTTATTAGTTAGAAGGAAAGATTAAGGTGTATGAAGATGAAATCCTTAAAAAGGATGAGTTAATTCAAAAATTATCCAGGTAACTAATTATTTGATATTTTAATTTGTTTTAATTTTCTAATTCCTTTAGTATGGACATTGATCAAGTTAAATCTACTGAACAGAAACTTACTGATCATAGTAATAGTATAGAACATGAACAATATCAGCAGACAAGCATAAAACGTGAAGAACTTGCAACATTACGAAGCAAGGTTGGACAATTATGTGAAAAAGTAAATTATTTTTAATTATCAACGGTACACTTTATGGTTGAGCATAAAATATACGAAACAGATTTTTCCAGTATAAAGGTGATATTCATACTATGGATTATAACTACAACTTGAATTTCTGCAATGATCTAAAGAATTTCGATTGGTTATGCTACAAATTGATACAATATAACCGAGTAACAATTGATCATAAAACAAAATATTACGACTTGTTTCAATTAATGACAATTCATACATAGAGGGCCGATTTATAAATCAAGTCAGCTAGTCATACTAATTAAAACATGTTCAGTAAAATAATGCATTTATTTGTCCATAAAAAATCGTATTCAAGGGGAATTAATCCAGTACAACTTGTCTGTTGAGGGATATTAAGTTAAATGTAAGAGAAATACTGTTAGGCAACTTATTATTATCAATATAGAAAATCGAAGTGGATTCTAAAGCATAACACATACTTTTGTCAAAAGATTTGTTTTCATAGTGATCATCTGAACAACTACAACTCAGCTATTATTGTTTGTACTTTTATAAGATGATAGTCACTCTACATTGTCTGTAGTTATTTCATAGTTGACAAGTTAACTTAACTAACTTTGTGATAAAAGTTTCAAACTAAGATGAGATATCTATTCAATATCACCTGGTTCTTAATGACTCCATAATAATCAACTAAATAAATGAGAATTATAATAAAATCTGCTAGAACAGAACAAGCAGAATCTAACAAAAGTTGGTAACAGTTTTTTTTTTGGAAAAAGGAAGTATCACTTATTATGCTCTAGTAATTTAATGAAAATTTATACGAAAAAATGTCTTCCTCTACTATCACTTTCCAAACTGTTAAATCTGCTAAAATCTTTTTGCACAATATTCATAATTCAGATGATCATATGAGATTAACTCATCTATACTCTTGGGTATAACTATGATTAATATTATCCGTGATTCTTGACACTCAATTATTAAAAAAAACCTGTTTTTAAGTCTTTAAAATAAATAAAACATTCAATTTTCAATGTTAAATGAATGAAATATCGGATGCTTTATTTTAAATTTACAGACATTAAATCAAGAAAGTGAATTAAAAGCAAAATCAACACTGTTAACTAAAGCGGAAACAGATATTGTTAAATTAACCCATAAAAACAATGAATTAATATCTGAAAATGAAAAATTAAAAAAACAAGTAAATGATTATACAACAAGCATTAATACAAAAATTACTGAATATGAAATATGCAATAAAAAATTGAATGAATCAAATCAATTATTGAAAAGTGAACAAGATAAGATAGATGAATTGAAAAAGCGTTTAAAGTAAGTTATCATTTTGTTTAATGAAATAGGTGCTTTTATGAAATATGTTTTTTTCGAATCAATGAGTATTGGACACATTTTAGTTATATTTCTGCTATGTTTAATTTTCAGTTCATTTTTTCGGATATTAAATTGAGGCTGATAGTTGCAGGATGTAAAACTTATAGAAGAAACTGATGAAAATATTAAAATAATTACTTACTGATACAAAAAAACATAAAAGGTGTGATGGAATGTTCTGATAGAATAGCAACAAACAGGCTATATTCTACATAAAGCGGCCTGCTTGAATATCTGGGCTACCTGTTCCTGCCATCTGGATATTTCTATAAGTTATTTGTTTTCTTGTTTGTTTTATCACATCATTATGCCTATTAGTCTCATAACCTATTCAGGTGCGTTCATGAAAAGTATACATTTCTCTGTACAAGTTACAAAAAAGCTTAATCAGAGACATCGTGGTTGCTGGAAGAATGCATCGAAAAGAATATACATTATTCAGACATCGACTCCTGAACTGCTAACATTTAACTGGCGACTACCAATATTTAACTTCAGGTTCGATCAAGAAATAAGAAAAGGAAACTTGTTGAAACAGTTTGTGTTGAGAATTCTATATTGTACCAAAGATATAATATTGAATAAAGCCACTAAAAGTAATAATAATATACGATCAACGGAAAAACAGAGCCGTTTTGCCACTGAAATATTATGTTTTTTGGAATTTCAGAAATATTGTAATAATAAATGTTCTAGAATTGCGAACAACTATTATTGAGCAAAATAATTTTTTTTTCATATAGTCTTAACCAACCTAAAATGACAGCAGGTATATTGATTAGCTATTTTGGGTTGTTCAATTCGACATGTAAGGAAACTATTATTCAGGTTTCATAGTAATGTGATCAATAAAGTTAAGGTAAGAAACTTCTGCCTGATTGACTATCAGATCAAAATGTTGATGCTTAACTCTGTTAATTTTAATCAATGTGATGTCATACTAATTGACGTCTCTGTCACATCCTCTGCTATGAAATAAAACCTAATCAACATAGTCCCATGTGTATATCAATATAATTATTTAAAACAATTAGTCCCTTTGATAAATTTCGATAGTGATATTAGAAGACGAAGATTATCAGAACTAATATCACATAGTTCTGATAATCTTCGTCTTCTAATACCATTATCGAAATATAATTATTTGTAAATCTAAGTTACTCTATTATTGATCATTTCAGGGCTTACAAATATATATTATAGTATGTGGTGGCAGTTTAACACATCTTTGTTTATTATTTAACTAAGGTAAAGATAAACCTCTTGGTACCATCTAACTAAAACAAATGTTGATCAAATTAAATGCATTAAATGAAACCCTTAAATAATTTAACTCGTTTAGATAGAAAAAACAAGAATATCACAGTTAAATCAACAAAATGAAACAAAAAATACATTGAGGAATATATATTTTATCTGACTTAGAAAAATTCCGAAAACTTATCATCGGGAAAAAAGACCAAAACCCAATAAATAACAACTTACGGCAAAAATGTTCAAAAAAATAACTTCATAAATACATGTAGAATTTTGAGTAGATTTAAACATTTTACATCTACATTATTTAACTTAAATGATCTACTCGAATTATATAAACTTTAGTTGCTCAACTACTTACTTTTGATGGAGTTTTGTTCTCTGAGCTGGATGGTTTGGTCGTGGAGCTTTCAACTTTCTTCTGAACGACATCATCAGCACAAACTTAATCTAGTTAGTTTATCTGTTATGATTAAACAATTTATTAATTAATTTTTTTGGTAAATATTTCACTTTATTGATGTTTAGTAAACAGATAGAAGAAAAAGAGAAATCCAATTATCAACTTGAACAAAATGAGAAACGCTTACAAAATTTCATTACAAAAATGATTCATATATTCGATACATTTTTACAAAATGATGAACATTTAATTATTGATTGGAAAGATGAAAAAAATTTAGAAGATTTAATAATTAAAGTAAATTTTCTTTATTTATTTTGTTTTAATTTGTTAATTTGATTGTTATGAGGATTTATTGCCAACTTTACCATTTATATCGTATCTTATTTAAACTAGACAGTTACAAAAAGTGTAATTCAACTAAGGAGATTTCTATTAGCTTATAAGACATTCATATTTATTGATTCAACTGGCTTTTCTAAATTGACATTTTATCAGATGAAAATATTTTATACTGTAAACTGATAGTGTGCAAACAACCTAAATGTGATAGTTAACTCTGTTGGATAAGAGGTTTTGTGGCTGTGTCTGACCGGTGTAACAAAGATGTAATTAGGATTAACGTATGCGCTTTGATCCAATACTATTAGCTGTGTCAGAGGTAGTAGTAGTCAGCTGTCAAATATTTTGGGTATGCTACATTTTGTCCATCAGAAATAGCCTTTCTCTCAATTTTCACTCACTTTTGTCATCCATATGCTCCTAGAGGCGCTGTATATCATTAGGAATCCACTAAACGTTTAATTACTTGCGCCACACAAGGCGCCGGTGATATAGCTTTCTGTCTACCAAGAGACAGATATACTGTATGACTTTTTACTGTGTACTCCCTCTTCGAATGTTTATTGCGCTTTTTATGGTTTAATGAAATACATAGACTGCTAGTACTTGATCAAAGATACTCAATAGATATTCTCTGCATATTTAGAAACCATCGATTAATACTGTTTCTAGATGTACGGTTCTAGTTTAAGATGTTAGATAAGATGATGAGGAACATTTGTCGACTAAGTGACTGAGGATTCACAAAGAGTACCAGTTATCTTTTCTTAAATCATTTTTAATTTCCGTCGCCTATCTCGTCAGAATATGTACAAAAAATCTTAAACAAACCCTATTTGTGAAGTATGTTTTTTACAACATCCCTTTTTCACATCATCTTTGAACGTAGTAGACTGGTTAAAAATACTATCGGAAGCATACTACTATTAAGTAGCTTAAATATATTCTCTCAAACTTAACCTTTTTACTAACATTTTACTTTCATTCTAACAGTTGTCTTAACATTCTTTAGTCTCGCTAATAGTTGAATACCGTTATCATGAAAGACTAACACTGTCTGAAAGTTATTCAATACAAAGAAGAATGATCAAATCTATATGTAGCTCCAAGCAAATGTATTGCTTTAGACAGATTTTTTGCATTAGTTCTGGGATATCACAACTGAAATAGCACATTTTATTTGTAAAATTCAAAATATTATTAAAACGTCAATACTATTTAACTTTTGTACATTAATTTAGTTTATTTATTTCATCTAGCTGTATTCTCATTGTTTTAATCCATTTTCCTTTAACTAAATAGGCTAAAGATGTCGTTAATGAAAATTTAAAAATAAAGGACATATTCAAGATTTATTAGATCGATTAAAACAACATGAAAATGAAAATGCTGATCACAAAAGTAGCATGAATCGTTTGGGTGAATTATTAACTAAAAATGATTGTTATGAACAAGAAAATAGAAAACTAAATCAGGTATTAATTTATCAATTTAAATAAAACGTTTTTTGTTATTACCGATAAATTATTATTATTATTATTATTACTAAAGTAATAATAATTCTATATTTTAACAAGTTTAATGAATTCAGTCGAAAAATTAATCAAACTTTTACTCTTGTAAAAGTATGCAGAACGCTTTCAATCAGAAGATTAACGTTTTACTACTTAAACGATTTCATTCATTTTATGTGTTAACTGAATGGCAGACTAGTAACTTTTGATTTAAGACACTTAAGATATACGAAATTCAGTTTTCCAGATTACCGGTACATCTCGTTAACCAGTGCTGAATAGCACAAAAAATAGGTGTAAGATTTTCTGACGACTGTAATATAAACAATTAATAACTCAAATGATGTAGGTAAATGTCGAGTCACTTTGACCAGTAACCATATTTTAACTTAACGGGTAGAATATGATCGGCATTAAGGGATTAAAAAACATGATATTTTTAGTTTTTCACTACTCATTGACTAACCAACTGATTATATTTTTCTTCATTTAAATATAAATTTAACAGGAATTAGAAAATATTCGACGTAATGAAAAAGCTTTGGAAGAACGAATTCGTGTATTGACTAAAGAATTAATTGATTCTCAGTTACATATAAGAGAATTAGATAAACAGTTACAAGATACAATGAGTAAAAACGAGAAACTACATTGGAGTAATCAAAATAAATATGAAGAAGATAATTTATTATTTCGGTATGTTAATCTTTTGTATATTAACAGTTACTGACTTGTTTTAAAAAAGTATTTGATTGAATTTTGATGGAGTTTTGTTCTCTGAGCTTTCATTGATATTGACCTATCACTGAGGTTTGAATAAATCATTTATTTTGAAGAAATATTAAATGTTCATTGTACAAAAAATAATGAATATTATGTACTGTAGTTATGTTGTTTTTTAGAATAACTCATCTGACATCATGAAATAAACAATATCTACAGTTTTTTAATCATAGACTGACATCAAGCTAGAGAATGGTTGGAAACCAGAATGTGATGAACATGCTTTAATCTTTATATTAAATTGCATTTAATGGCAGTCAAAATTTTAGGTTTGTAAAATCATTTCCTTAAGACATTGATGTAATGTCCTACTATTGGAAATGCCTCGAACTAGTACGAAACACTTACTTGTAGTATATCCAATGAAGCGTGCAAAATTCTATGACTTAAGAGGTAATAAACTGAAAATAGATAATTGTCATTCGACTATTATCCTCATATCTTTTCGTTTGAAACATCAATACTGTCATCCACTACAGCAAATAGCTGGCGCCTCTAATACACCATTACATTTCGTGTCAATATAATGCCATATCTTAGTTCTTTTAAATACTATATAAAGTGAATAAACAATTTTTTGTCTGTTTAGTCTATCAGCAGCATTATAGTGCAGGATGAGCATTTGGATGCACTCGTCTACGTGTTGATGTTCACTCAGGTACTCGGACCAAGTGTCTGTTGCTCAAAAATGTTTACAATCGGAAACTACAGACACTTATTTACCGTAAACAATATTTATAAATCGAAAATAATTGTATGCATAAACCTGGATTTATTATTTATAATACTTTTAAATCGATTCATCAGCATAGTATATGTAATCTTCATTTAGAAATTCATTGGCTTCATTGCTATCGTACAATAATTTCCAATGTAATCCAACTGAAATATCAATCAAAGAAAGTGTTAGGAAGTTTATGAGTGAATTGCAGGAACAAAAAGATGTAAGTTATTTGTATTAAGTGTTTGGTTTGATAAAAAAACCTAATTAATATTTAAAAAAATTACAACAACAATTTGATTATTAGTTATACATTAGGTAGATTCATATTGAACTTTTTTGATATTCAATAAAGTACCTTTTAAAGTTTATTTATTCATAAAAATGATTACTATAATGTTGGATCCTTCAACAAGCCTTTATAACACAGGAAATGAATTATAAGAATGTTAGGTTGAATAAAGTTATTTCTAATTATTACAGATTACGAACAATTATATTCATACAGGAATTTATTATCTACCTTTACATTAAAGATCAATAAGTCTGACTGTTCCAAGACCAGTAATTTCTTGAAATATTGTCAGATGTTTGACTGGAAGTGTCACTTAACTTTCATATCATAAATAAAGAATTGTTATTTTCAAATAAAATATGTGCGAACACTTTATAGTTATAAATTATTAAATAAACCTCAACGACCTTTATGTAGGGAGTCAACTATATCATATAGTAAACTAGAGTTGACCGTTTTAAAAGATAACCAAGCGGTCAGCATGGTTTTCAAGGTAGAATATCTGGTTTATTTCGTTTCTGCCATATTAGATCACAGTGCAGTGTTTTCAGTTTGTCCGTGTTAAATAGTGAAAGTGAAGTTAAACCATTATCATAAGTTAAAATGGACTTCGGATAAATGAACAAACTCAACTTCATCCTCATCATTGACTAATTTAGAAAATGGTCTTTAATGTGAAGCCAAATTTTCTTTACAACAACTTTTATGGTGTGAAAGAATATTTTACATAAATAGGTGTTTACCTTAGATATCCCTGAGGATTTCTATGTAACATATAAAATAACAGATTTCCTCTTTATAGGTTTAATACCAATTGGCTAGCTAAATGTTTACCAGTACCTTTAATCAGGATAGTTTGAAACTACAAAAGAGAATACAGTCGTAGAAAATCATGAGTTTTCTGTGGAGTTACGAAAAATCCTCCCGATTTAACCCAATTGGTTGATGAAGTGGTGTTTGTAAGAAAAGTTTACAACTAGTAAAATGGTTTAGTCAAAATGTTGTTAATTTTACTTTTTTGTGAGAATATATATGATACCGACGTTCTCTCCGATACCGAATATTGTCTCAAGGTGAGTAAGTGGTTCAATATATGAAGCAAATTTGCACTGAAAGAAATCACCTAAAAACATGAGTCGTACTAACTCTAGAAAGCACATATAATCGATAAAGCCATCATGGTTCATTCATATATATATATATATATATATATATATATATATATATATATATATATATATATATATAGGCCTGTGTTCGATATGCATTCTCGAGTCTAGTAACAAAGATCCACACCTCAGTTAGATCATTCAAATTTCAACTAAGTGGTATTATTCATAAGACAAGGTATTAAACGTATTTCATCAGAGAGGGAGCTTATCAAATTTACACAATGCCTGAATGTTGTACGACAACTCATTACTAGTTTACTGATAAAACTGAGGTATAACAGTGGACTGACTTGCTTGCTTAGACAAATCCAAACGTTTATCTGTTTACATTTCAGGTAATTTTGATGAATGATAGATTTTCAGCGAGTTGCAAATACTATCGTTTAATATTAGGACTTCTCGTACGATTTGTGCTTTCCTCCAAGTGATTAAAATGTTCATCAGTAGCTCAGACAAGGTCAAGATTGTATCCAAATTTCAGACAGGTGTATATTAGTTTTTCTTCCTTTGTAGGACTGCTTATACTAACTGAAAACAATATATGGGCTATGTTAAAATTTGGAAGGTTATACTTGGACGTGATAGAAACCTGTATACAGCGAATGAAATCATTCTAGAACGTTGGCTTCGATAGCTTCACCATGCTTAATGTTTGATATTCAAGCTGCTTTCATAGCAATTGTTGTTTATTAACACTAAAAATAGGCGTAAAAACAGTATGACGGTCAATTTCGAACATTTGACAATAGAATAATAGTGTTAAATTATCAGTCAACCACAAATTTCTTTCATAATGACTATCTAACTCATAGGTTTGGCAATTCTACAAGTACTAGCCTAAATATGGAATTAGTGGCCATAATTCTAAGTTTACTTTTGCCTTCCGAATTAAAAATAAATTATACTTTGTTTAAAATGAAATCTCCCTCGATGATGCTTTTTACCTGAGCTATTTATATTATTAGTATTTGCCTTTCTCCATTACAATACTGTTTTCCATTTGTACGGCTCATTTCGTGATAACTCATCATACTAAGTCTGTTACTTTTAAACAACTCTGATGACTAACTAGTTAGTTTAATTTATGATTAATTATTTTTATCCCTTATCTAGTTGTATTCAAGACTTGAAATTCGTTTATCAGACACATTAAGACGTTTAGATCATTCACAAGCTTCTAAACACGAAGTGGAACGTATGTTAGAGAAAACGGAACGGGAATGTTTTGATCTGCGTGAACAGATTAGACGTCTAGAAACAGATTTGATAAATTCTGATTTGGTGAAGCAAGAACAACGCTCAGATAAATTAAAAGTAAGTATCTATGTATAACACTGATACGTTGTAGAAAAAACAAATGTTGATTATTTTTTTTGCTACTTACGAGTAATAAGTAATACTTACTAAGCAAAACCAGTTGGTGGCATCAAATGATTCGTACGCAAAATAATGCTTTTCAACTTGAAAATTTTTTAAAACTTATATCAAAAGTTAATATTAGTTATAGAACTAATTCTTGACAATGTTCTAGTTTTGTCAAAAGCTTTTGGTCGATGTATTCTCTGTTATACTCCTAGGTTTGATGAGTAACTTAAGTCTAGTGCTTTTTACTCTGAAAAGAAAACTGTTAGTTTGTTACGGTTCCAACAGATATCACAATCTGGTTTGTTTTTTCATAAGCGTTTAATTGATATGACTAGTTCAGTCAATTTATTTAGCTTAGAAATTCACGTAAAACAATAATCAGTCACTTAATGAGTAAAGATAAGTGTATGCATATCGGTGTTTTGAATAATTAAGGCAGCTGAAAGTGTTTTGTATGTGTAATCACCGCTTTTGTCAGTCTGTTATGTTTTGTAGTATAGCAACGGGTTGAAAAATAAACAAGAGAGGGTCAGTCAAAAAAGTTCTGTCCGCCCATAGATTTACCGAATAATGAAGTTAACCTTGACGTGGTATAGTCTCGGCTCACAAGATTACCGGGATTTAAGGTTTAAGACCTCATGTCATATGGCTCAAAATCAGTCACAGTGGTATGGATGCATCCAGTTTTTTAATCTTCCGTTAAATTTTGTACTTCAGTGACATTTTTTTCATTCAATAGTATACTATTACATTTTGACTTGAAAATTTAAAATAAATTGTAAATTTAATGTAAATTTAATGGATTCCAATAAGTTAGATTCAAACACTACTGTATATTTTATTTGGTCGGTTTGATCATGTCAAATTATCTACTACCATTAGTACAGTTTTTTGAGCTTCTTTGCACTCCATTGGGTTAATTATCACTCACTTTACTGATGGGAGTTGTGGGAGCCTGAATAATTGAACGTATATTTTAGGTTCTAAAAAGAGAGAGTGCATTGAGACTCTAATATGTTTTATTTATAGAAATGTTTTAGTTACAAAAGTATGAGTAGAAATGTTCAGTTTTTTCACATTTTCCTTTGGTTACTACTTTTGTGCACCACACTATACATTAGTCAATACTATATTCAATCAATTTTAGAACCTGTAAAGAATGTTGTTCACCTACCAGAATTAGCTGCCGTTACTAAATAAATATACTTTTATTTTGCACTTTCACCCGTTTTCTTATTTTTAATATCATTTGCACTTATACTACATGTATTACTTACTGAGATTTGTTTGTTCTGAAAAAATTGTTTATTTTGAACTCTAATGCTTGATTCATTTTCACTAGTTGTTACTGCTTTTTTGTCAAAGCTCTGATATATATATTAATTAATAGTATTATTTACAGTTAAGTTATTGCGTGAATATTTGATGTACCCATTTACTTTCTGACTTTGTCCTGGAAGGCGCAATCTTAGCCTGCGAATCTCACTGTTCAAATATCGTAAACATCTTTCATATGCTCTTTAACAGTTAATGTCTTGAGAACTGGAGTAACTGTTAAGAATATTGATAAAAAATAATTATCCATGCTGTATTTTGAATACTAGAAAGGAGATACTCATTTCTTTTGAAGAAAAATTAACCATAGAACAGTTTATTATAATTTGGATAAATGTAAACAAGATCTTTCACTGTATAACACTTTGAAGTTTATTATACACGGTATCTTCTTTTTTTTTGTAATTGAATTAAATTTTTCTAGCATGCGAAATTTTTAATGTTATGATCAATAATATGACATTTTTATCCTTATATGTTGACAGATTTTCTCGTATCTCTGTAAACTTGCAGCAAAAGTGAGAATAGATGAAAAAGTTGCTTCAGAATGAGATTTGACGAATTACAAGAAGTTCTTTTGAGTAAGTTAATTGTTAATAAAATTATAATGAAATAGATGTTTCTTAGGAATTTTAAAATTATCTCAATATATAGTGTTAATAATGCTGAAACAAACTACTTTTTTGCAAGTACTTTGAGGAAATTTCTTTATAGACATTTCATTCTAATTATTATCAGTGCAAAAAGTTTATTAAGAGTTTTTAAGCAATTCATACTCTTAATAAAAGTAAAATCTATCTATTATACGTTTGTGTTGTATATCATAAACGAGAATGTATTAACTATTATGTTTTTTTTATTATATATAGAACTTAATATGTTTTGAAATAGTCTGTATGCAAATTGTACATTAAATCAGCAGTATACATTTATAAATATATGGTTTTCTGTGGGTTGCAACGGGTTGGTTATCCTATAAGTTTACTCAAAAATTGTTTAAAGTACCCAAAATCTTTTTTTATTTTATTTTGGAGCCAAGAAATTTACTCTTAATTTGTTGAACAGCAGGTTATGCAATCATCCTTTATTTTCACATATTTCAATGAAATACAGAATAGCAATACCAATAATTATCGAATTGAATGAAACATGGAAATCGTTAGTTTACAACATTTAAACTCTTCTGAATGGTTGGAATATAACCTTGAATAACGGAACTGTAAAAGATCAAAAGGGTTATGAATTGGAAAAATAGTATGCTGTAACATTTTCGTATCAAAGAATGGGTGCATAAACCACAGTAAGAATATGAACAAAGAAACACAAATAAAAAACACCAACCGTTTTAGTTTTGGACATCATTCACAATGGAATACAGATAATTACTGGTATAAGCACTCAAAATTATACTATTTTTTACCCTTTACTCTAATGTAAATGTACATCCCACACTAATATCAGTTTATGAGGAATAATACTTTGCGAATAAGCAAGCGTTTAAAACACCTTCAATTACCGATAATGGTTGTTTTTTTTTCAAAAGTTGACCAATAATTTCTTGATAGTCTACTAAAGAGATGTTCAGTAAATCATTTTCATTGGTTTTTAATGTTTTGTATACAGCAAGAATCGGACAAATAATTAGTGGTGAATACACTATGCTAAGTGACGTTCAAGCTAACGCTGATCGTATAAATGGTTTAAATCGTAAAGTGAAAAGATTACAAGATCAATTAGCAAGTAGAGAAATACAATTAGGTTTGTGGAAAGAGAAAGCTAGTAAATTAGAAGATCAATTGTCCGGTATAAATGAAACTGAAATGAAAGCTCATGCAAATAAAATTGCAGCGGAGAAATCAGCTATCAATGCTAGACGATCAGAATTAGAAGTGTCAAGATTAAAAGATGAGTTAACTCGTTTAAAAGCGGAACTATTAGATTTTAGTGACGCTAAAGTAAGTAGTTAATTGAAAATAATATTTTGTTATTGATTTTGTTGTTTGTCACTATTAATGCATTAATGAATTCACTCTAATATAATGTAAATTTGTAATATGATCTGTATCAATTAATTGAGTGTATTTGTAAACTTCCGCTATTTCTCATACGAGCTTGTTGATAACCGTTTTGCATTAATTGTTAATGTCTAGTAGGCTAACTGTAGCTTCCTTGTGAAGAACTATTTTGTCGCTTGGCAGGAGTTTGCTTCCTTTGGCTTTTATGATTAATCTCTTCAGCAATCTAGAGATTTGTTTTTGAAAACTAGTTATATTGAAGTGAACAAGAACACGAGTGGAGATAACCGAATGTATTTGAGCACGAAATTACAAAACATCTCACTAAAATCTGAGAACTACACAGTGAATAGATAATTCGCAAAATATCAATCAATTGTCTCAAAATTGACTGTTCCTTTAGCAAATCTCAGCCTATCGTCTCAGATTTCATTGTTCATGCATTCTCATACAAATTGCTCTCCATTCTTGCTCTTTCCCTCTCGATCTTCTGCTGAAATACATTCTATGTTTGACCGTCGTTATATATTACTTATGTGGATATAAGTAGCTCACACCACAGTATTACTTCGCATATTCATTCATACGTCAATCCTATATGATAGTGTAGGTAAAGAGTTTTTAGCTTGTTTGCTTAAAATAACATTTCTTTGACATTTTGCTTAATGTCACTGTTAATTAATGAGTGATGAAATGGGGATTTAAGATCAAATACTGAAAACAAAATACAGTGTTAGCTACTTCAGTTCTAAATTTATGCCTTACATTACGTACATACAAGTCAAATCAAATAATTTTTTTTCAAGAAATTTAAAAGAAATTTGCGGTATTTAAATCTTCATGATGAACATCAGTTCTAAAAATATACATATATGTAATGTCTCAATGTTTTATTAGGTATATAGTGAATAATCCACGTGGTTACTTCAGTGACCGATTTTCGCTTCATTTTTAGTTGTTCCAAGTTCAAAAACTCGATTAAATTAACACTGACTAAACTAAAATTATATAACTTATTATCAATAGTTGAAATTCATAATATGTATATATATGCAGTTCATACCAATCTATTTCTATATGTATATCTTAAAAGCTTTCTGTTTTCTTGACATTTAAGTCTAATTTCCCAATATGTTGTAATGATAAACTATCTCATCCTGTCATCATTATTTACCATTTGCAATTTGTTGAAATATGTTTTTTGAATTAACAGTGAAATTGTAATAGCAGATTCTTCTCTAGTTTATCAACTAGATTTTGCCAAATTGAATATTTTTTGATACTGTCAAAGTCATCTCTAATCAGAAAATCAGCTTACAGTAAATGTATTCCCCATTTGATTGATACAAGTAAACTGGTTATGGAAAATAAAATTGTATTGACAGTCGTGATAAATGAGGATATAAATGGTAACAGTTTATCTACTTTTATAAGTGTGCACACTTACGGTACCTGCGGTGAAGGAGAACACAGGTGAGAACAACTTAATAGAAATAGAAAGACTATACTCTAATACTTTATTTGCTAAATGTCCGTTAATTGTCCCAGACTTCATTGTTCCTGCATTTCCATACCAATTGCTTTTATTCCCGTTCTTCTCTTCTTAGTCTTCTCAATCTTCTGCTGCCAGACATTATATTCCTGACTCACATTACATACTACTTGTGTCAATATAAGTAGCACACACCACAGTATCCAGCATAATTTTATCTATTACTTTTAGTGATATTGGTTAATAGAATATGAATGGCATGTTGAATGCTTTTGTTAGATAAATTTTAAAGATTTTTAAGTTAATTATTGTTCTCTTTATTTCTAAAATGTTTATTTAGAAAGAACAAATATGTTTGTCTATTGTCCTATAAATCTTTAAGTTTTTTTAAAATTCATGTTAATATAAGTAAAATTAAAAAATGAATTATCAAGATTTAGAAACAAACAACGCTCTTTTTAAATATTTACTTTTCCATTTCCAAATTACATTGATTTAGATTAGTGTAGTTAAATGTGAAGAACAACTGGCCGAGCTAACTAAACAAAACAGAGAACTGGAAAGTATACGTCAAAGTCAAGCAAATAAAATTGCTGAGTTAACAGAAAAAATGGAATTGCAAACAAATGAGGATAGTGATAACCGTAGTCGATTAGAAGAAGAATGTAAATGTTTAATGAATGAATTACAATCAACTAGAAAGTCAATGGAACAACTTCAACGTTCTGAAAGAGAGGTATACCGAGATTTTCAATTTTATGTACTTTTCTTACTTCAATTTTTAGAAAACTTTATAAAATAAGTGCAGCTACTTTTTAATGTAAAAGTTATTATTTTGAGCGGGGATTTGGCTTTCACCATGAATTAAATTTTGTTTGAGAGAAAGATTGTAGACTAGAGAGTGCAAGTAATTTAACTCATTTAAAAATTACAAGTTTTTGTCCCCATTTTTGAGTCAAATATTTTATGGGAAAACTAATAATACTGATCAGCCATCCAGATCAAAGTAAGTGGGTCAAGGTTTCAACTTGAAAACTAGTAGTTGATAGTTCAATGTTTTAACCTCTAAGTTACTGTTTGACCAGAAAATATTAAACGCTGTTTTGGTTCTAACAAGTAAATGGTCGAAAAAACCTCAGGAGCCAGGAAAACTTAGTTATTTAATCACTGTTAAACTATTATGAAATAATTAGATGATTGTCATTGTTTAGTCTGAATGAATTCATGATAAAGGGTGAATAACGTTAGACTCACCAATCTATATTTCGTTGTTCTGTTCAGGTAACCATAGTTCGGTATTAATTATTTAGCAGATCAAACATTTAAACGGCGAATTGTAACTAAACTTAATTAAATTATTTATTAAATAAAATTCCAGATTCTGTGTATCCAATTTTAAGTTATTCGAATAGTAAAAAGAAATCAAATTTGTCTCATATTCATGTTCGGGCTGAAAATTTGAGTAATTTACTTAAATTTGTGACTATGTTTTTGCATATAGTGATTTAGTTTTGCCTAAGATTTGAAATATTATATACAGCATTATTGATTTGGAACGTCTCGAGCATATGAAGAACATATTGAAGTCATTTGTGTCAAATACACTTCACCCGCATATACTTTTCAACAATCAAGTCATATAACTATGGGAGAAAATTTTAAAAAGATTGTATTAAGTTTTTAATAATGTGAAAGGAGATTTTTTAGAAACTAAACACTATTACTAAATAATTGCCAAGTATCAGTATCATTCATGGAACCAAACTCGTTTTTAATACCGTTGAGTGGGTTTTCAAATAAATAAATTTTTAGGTAAAACTTCTACTTACCTCATCAATCGATATTGTTATCATGGTTCATAACCCCTGTAGGACTATGACTATCATAAATTGAGTTCAAAAAATTTATAATCTGTGATGATATGAACAACGAACTTTTCAATCCTTGTGGATTTGTGAACCATATAGATTCAAATCAGTAAATATTCACGATTTTACTTAAGGTTTCAGTTTATTTTAACTAATACATTCAATAAACAGCAAGTTTTATTTCATAGCTTTTCATCAGATTAGGCAACACATATGACATTGAATTTTCAGGATGTTTTTCGTATTATGAATAATCAGTTTGAAAGAAGTCATAATATAAAACAGTTATCTTCTTAAAAGTCTAAAAATGATTATCAGTAGCTAATGTACTTTTGAAATGGAGGCTGAAAAAACTCTGCGAAATAAATGTTATGCTCCCAAACTGTTTGTTTCTGAGATGACTAAGTCCATGATTCCATATAAACTCAAAAATTATATCCTAGCCTACTTACCAGTTCACATGTGTACGTGGACATATATACATAGGAATGAGTAATCGTACTATGCCACCGAGGTTAGTGGGAGATTTCCATCAATAACTTTTAAAACATTTAGCATCACTTGCTTATAAAGACTCCAAGATTCGAAAGCCAAGCTTCTCGATAGTAAAATATATTATTGAAACAAGTATGTGTGATCAGTTAATACTTTATTTGTAATTCGTTGAGGTAACATATCACAATTTACGATCAACTTCGTCCTCTCATTATATTTTCAAAATATTATGTTTTGTTGATACTAGCTTCTGGAATTCAGAGCACTTGTTGGTCGTCTTCTTGGTTTAGATACAGAATTATTAACAGTACCTAATTATGATATTATCAGTCGTTTAGAAACAATAATTACACATCATCAATTTATTCATGATAATTCCATGTTGTCACATATGAACGATGCACATTCACCGAATAGAAAATCAAGTTCATTGACTAAAGATACAGGCTTACAACGAAATACAACGGCAGATTGTTATATGGCCGGACCGCATACAGCTAAAACAAGATCTAAACAAGGTAAGATACTGTTTGTGTTTTTCCTTGCATTCATGTCTAAACATATACATATATCTGTTATAGTATGTTTCTTTTGGTCACTAGAGAAATTTTTATGTTTCCTAATTCATAAATCAGTGTAATGAGGAATTAATTTTAGTATTGGGTATAATATAGGGTAAAGCCTCTCAGTTAGTTCGGTTTTAATGTACAAGTGGACTGTTATAACAGAACAATTGACTGGAGAACCTAGATCTCAATCACCTTTTTTTACGAAACCGATCATTAAATCCCAATTAAATAAATTTCAGAGGTCAGAACTAGTAGTGAAATGACTGAATATATACCACAGCGAAATTACATTTACAGTTTATATCATAAAATGCTCAGTCAAGAATGTCTGATTTATCGGACGACGTATACAGATGACTGATCAAGATAAAAGCCACAAAATAAAATATTATCTGTCATTCTCACCCATTTTATTGATCATACTTATGCGATGGGTTTGAAGAACTGTGCAAGCCTAGTTCAATCGACTAGACCATTTCGATAGAGAACAACAAGAAAAATTGTAAACCAAACACTCATTAGGCATGTAGACCATACTAAAATATCACAACAACAAAAAGTTATTGATAATAACTAACTGTCTATTCACGAATGTAATATATTTCAGGCAAAAAAAATACGATAATCTAAGACTTAAGATAAGTTAAAATGGCAGAGTACTATCATTCAACATTATCAGTTAATTATTATTAAAAATTTGCAGATTTTCAGCATTACAAACTCTTACAATCGTAAGAAGCTCAGTAAAGAAATAAATTACTCTAGAGTGATCTAAACAAGTTTATTTTGGTGTTATACTTAATTAAAAACATTGTAAGTGATTTATATCAAACCGTCTATTGTACTTCTAAAATACAGAAATTTTACGACTTCTGTAATCTTATGTCATATCACATAAAATATTTTGATCTTATTAGTATGATCCCTAAGTACATTTATTAACCAAGCGTTTTTTATTGATTGAATAGCAAAAGGTTTTTAGATAGTCCTTCAAGTTGTGAAAGAATCTTAGAGTTTTTGTAATCTTAAATCCTTCAGATTTTCAATATCTCTTCATAAAATAATTGTTACTTCTGAAGTTTGATGAAGGTTCTCTGAAATATCAAAAAGTAGAAAATAAAATATTAACAAAAACACTATAATAAATTTGAATAGAAATTAGGAGATTAGGCATAGATAGTGGATAACAATCAAATCGAGCTCAAATGGTCAGTTACTGATTTGCACTTAAATGAATAAAGACATTGTAATGTAGACTTATTTATTTTTGTACATACATTTTTCATGGCAGATATTGATAATTTGATCTAAAAAAACAGAAAATTTATAAAATCCTGTCTTGTGTGTAACTTTTACAGTTTTCTATTGATTCGATCGAGACAATCGTCACTTATCTAACTAGTAACAAATCATATACCCGAATGAAACTATAGCAATTTTATTCACTATTATGTAGTTATCGTCAATAGATTTCTGTTTTTTTCTTTAAACACGTTTAACTGATCATTGATTTGAATGAATTTGATTCTGATTGAACATAATACATGTCAACTTAGTTGTTAGGGAAATTCGAAGAATGAACAATATCAAATTTAGAAAGTTAAATTTTTGGGTAAATTTGCATATTATTTAAAATTAGTGTTTATTATAGTACTATTTAATAATATTCCCACTTAATCATTCTTTTAACTATCAAGGTAATGTGATATTATTCATTTGTTTTTAATACCTGGTATTGGTTTTGTCTTTTTTTTTCATGCATACTAACATATTTTTGTAAGAAAAATAAGCTTAATTATCCTTCTCCCGTTTTTTATTTGATAAAGTCATATTTTTTCATTTATTTGTTGATAATATTTGTTTATCAGTATAGATTAATATTCGTTCATTGAGAAAAGCCAAGTATATTAAGATCTATGAATATAGATATTTTTATATAAATTCAAGATACTTCATGTACAGTAATTAGATTAATTTATTTCGATCAGTTAAAAATCTAGTAGAATGAATGTTGATGAAAAGAATCCGCTCTTTAAAATGTGGAACACTATGTAGACTGTACAAGGCATATAATGTAGATAAAAATGATTACATTTTCTTTCTTTGAAACATGAATTAAGTAACTTTAATCAGTTGATGATATTACGCAGTCATCGTTAATTGTCTGTGGTAGATAACTATTTCACAATCTGACATGATTGGACTCTAGTGGTTACGATTTCTGTAATCTCTATAAACCTTCATATGTTAATAATAATCATGTGCTCACCAGTGTTTAGCCTTAGGATGCAGTTCTTGCAGTTCTAGTGTGAAGTTGTGATCAGTGGAGTTTAACCAAGTCAAGTGTGAGGCAGTTATTAACCATAGGCAATGCAAGACGGTTGTAGAGCATCGTGAATTGAAGTTGGACTTGTATACAATTGGATCCTGGTTCAGTGGTCTTAGGGTTAAGCGTTCATGCGCGATTTCAAAAATCATGGCTTTGATTTCCGGATATGTATTCGTAGATATCCACTTCTGAAGAGTTGGATAAGTGTTTGACAATTTCAAGAATCAAACCATGTGAGAATTTTATTCCAAGATGTTACTTTAATTTTATGCTATTGTACGTATAACAATTCATAAGGGGTCTTAGTTGGATCATTAAGAATAATTAATGGTATACAATATACTTGAATTACAAAACTAGAGGACATGTCTTCCATTCGTTTGTTTCTTCAGTATTCCTTGTTCAATGATTGTTCTTTTAACTTATAAACATTGCTTCTTTTTTTCCCTTAAGCTTGGACTAATACTTGTGAAGATTGTTCAAAATCATGTAACCGTTCAGTGAGAGATTCATTAGAAAAGTACAGGGAAAAATGTCATCCATCTGAATCAATAAAACACGATCCAAGAAAGTATTAGTTATGTTATTACTTACTTAAAAGCACTTACATACCAAGTTATTTTTGATTTAAAAATGTTTATTTGCAAAAATACAAAGATAACTACAATTTTACCAATTGTTCATAGAATAATGTTTTTATCTATCGGTTGTTCTAAGTACCTTTTTCTCTTATTCTTTAAATTAACATTATCAAATGAACTTTTAATTAGATTATACAAATAAACATACATTTTGTGAGAGTCTCTCGAGATTTCTTTTAATAATGAATTTACTCTTATTATGTTTATTAATATTATTATGCATTCTATCATAGCTGTAATGACGTTACAATTTTACTCTAACTACATAATCAAATATTAATTCGAAAGTGAATATAAAACAATGTGATACTCCTCAATCGAACTAATACTACGTCCCTAATAACTGTTGACCCAACCCACAAACTATTCCAAAGACAAAAATGTTTAATATTAATGTCTCAAATCAATATACCATAGTGGATCAGCTCGCAAAGTTCCTTAAAGTTCATTTATTTTCTAGCTTACGTGAACTGATGTTATAGACCAGCTTGATTGCTACTAATGACAGCTGCTAATTGTATGTATATATCGTGTTTGAGTGTTCGCTGCGTGCGTTTATCATGACTTTGATATAGTCAGTCAGATTATTACTGACAAGCACCATTCGTCACTTTAAAAATGAACATTGTTATTCATTTTTCAATCAGAAGCTATATATGATAATAATTCTTTTGAAAGTATGACCACAGTTGTACTTCTTTGATAAATAAAGTCCAGAAACTTTAGTAGATCCTTGTACGTTTCCGGATAATCTGTTTGTTAATGAGTGATTAAGTACTGAATTATGAACTTTAATATAAAGTTGTGAGCCATTATATTCCTATACTCAGAGACAGAAGGCAAATTTATTCCATGGATTTATCAGTTTTGTCATGGGTCGATCTAGGATAGATAACACCAATTACTGTGTTTGAAATCTGTCAATTAGTTCCTCATTGGTTAAAGTTTGACGAGAACATTCGAATTTCTGTCGCAGTATGTGTGATCATCTACCTATGCTGCTGAAGTGCTTCGCTTCAGAAAGTGCCAAATATGTAATGGTTTATTTTTTACAATGTTTCTCTTTCAATATTCATTTCATGATCGATATAATCTCGGAAAACACATCAGTAGTGTATAAAGCTATTTAAATTTATACTACACAATAAATAAACACTGAAATGTGATTAAAAAAAACTCTGAAATCATCGGTGAAGATTATGACTTCCAAAAACAAATGGATGAGAATCCATGATCTCTATTTTATATAAAGGTAACAATTGAGTTCCTTAAGCTTATAAGATACGTTGAATGTCGAATGATGGGAAAGAAGTGGTGTTACAAAAAAATAAGAGTCAATAAGATTTTCTTCTATTGAAATGTATGAAGATTTTTAAATCTTTATGCTATTAATTAGTTTTAGACACAAGATTGATAATCTTGACATTAATGCACAGATTACCAAGTCTAAAAATTCTCATGAAGATTCAAAAGTTTTTTAAAAGACGTAAAACGTCAAAATTGCAAACAATAATCTATATAGACGTTTAACATGTTTAAACTAACAAATATCAACTGGGTACAAAAATGTCTAGTAATATCCACTTGGCATTCTCAATAAATTACTTTGTTATGTAAGCATAATCAATTTTATCTAGCTTATGGTTGAATAATTAAGGCTAATGATAATAGTAATGAAAAATTATCGTGATGTTTTTTTGTTTAATTTAACAAAAACATACAAATGAACATAAACGACGTGTATAGATTATTATCATTTTAAGTTTCAATCATTAATTTAAATATTTTTCACTGGTTGAAATCATGAGTCAATTGAGGCTATACCACCATGGAAAACCTGGAAGCACTGAACGGCCGTGTCATCCTAGTATGTTACTACTCAACAGTGCTCATCCACGATTCCGCACCCCGCGAGATTCAAACCAGGGCCTATTAGTCTCGCGCCAGGCGCTTAACCAACTAGACCACTGAACCGGCATTCAACAGTGTTAATGTCTAACTTCAACCAATCCACGAAGTTGCGCCACCGTATACCATTGACTTCAAGAGATAATCCTGAAGTTCTGGTGAGAAGCCGTTACCAGTGGGGTTCAACCAGGTCTGTTGTGAGATATCAACTCACTGAAGACAATGGTGTACGTTGGCGCAATTTCGTGGATCTGTTGAAGTTATACATTAACACTGTTGGATGCCGGTTCAGTGGTCTAGTTGGTTAAGCGCCTGGCGCAAGACTAATAGGCCCTGGGTTTGAATCTCGCGGGGTGCGGAATCGTGGATGAGCACTGTTGAGTAGTAACATACTAGGACGACACGGCCGTTCAGTGCTTCCAGGTTTTCCATGGTGGTATAGCCTCAATTGACTCATGATTTCAACCAGTGAAATTTCTAAAATCTCCACAAAACCTATTGGTAAATATTTTTTAAAAAGCAATTTGACCTAACTTTGTTAGTTCAATATTTTCAATATCTTTATGTCTAGTAAAGTGTTTAAAATTATTGGAATATATTAAATAAATATACTTGTTTAATGATTACTTAAATTGAGAGAAAATTATCTTTTATTATTTTTATTTCTAAAATGTAATTCGAATGCAACATGAATTACTATTACAACCTAATTAAAAACACTTTTTCGTATTTTAAGTGGATTAATTCCTATGAAAACGGCATACTATACATACATTATATATGTATATTTCTAATATTTTAATCGGTGAGAAAATATTGAGAGACGTTATATAACTTTGAAGACTTAATTCATAGTTTTAAGTCAATAACTACTTTCTTTGTGATTAGTGTAATTCAAAAAAGATATAATAAAGATGGATATCATCAATATCCATGGATTCTGGTTTTACAATAGCATGAAACGACGTAAGTTGGAAATGTGAATTATTATATTGATTGGACTGTAATATCTAAGAGGGGGCTATTCGATCCTCAGTGGGATAGTTAGGGTGAATCGCTTAAAAAATTTTCATACTAGAATAGACAACTGATTGGTTTTTGTTGGTTATCCAAATATAATCACTCCTTGAATGTAAACATTATTCAAATTGATTGGTCGATACAACTCTTATCTTAATAATGATCACGTACTTCGCATCAATTTACTTCCTAAAGCGTTCTCAATATTCTGTTGGTGCGAAACCGTGACTGTATAATTCAAACAGATTGAAAGTGAAATAAATATGTTTTGGACTGCTATGTAAAAAAAGGGAACTATTTGGCTTACGAGAATCGAAATCAAAGTCATCGAATGACATTTGAACGACAATACGAAATAATTAAATCTCAAAAAGAATACAAACCAGCAAGTTGAATCATATCCACTAAATAGAAATGTGTTTATATAGAAAAATATAAAAAAAGTCTTTAGTTGATGAAAAAAGAATGTTACAATGAACAATTTAAACTTTTTATGACAAATTTACTTTTAAATGATGTACAAAAATGAATTTTAGAAATACAATTAGTTAGTTGATATTTAGATTTGATGACAAAAAGATTTACATAAAACAATTTCAGTACTTTTATAATATGAACAGAAAAAAAAGTAACTAAGACATATAAATCACGTATAAAGAGAGGTAATATGAAGATATTTGACCATATTTTATAAAGCGAGCCATCAATAAATCCCTAAACTGAAATCAATTACATAATTCTTAATTACGTTCAATTGTTCTCTATTTAATATTCATGATTAAACGAGAAGAAAAATTCTCATACAGACATTATATTTAAATCTACAGTTTGATAACTGTATTTAATTTATAAATGAATAGGATAAAAGCAAACAACGAATTGAATTGTATAAAACAATAGAAAACTGATTCTTAATTGATATTCACACAGTACTATTACCAATAATAATAATAATAATGACTATTATCATTGGTTTCGTTCAAATCAACTATGATACATGTTTCATAATTGTCATCAACTGGATAAAATTGTATTTTACAATTTTTTTGTCCCTGTAAAAAATATTACAAAATTAGTCTGAAATAGTTTATTACATTTTATTTTCAATAATTCAAATTCAATGCACTTTCGGTAATCATCAAGTATAAACGAGAAAAAAAAGTGAAAATGAGAAGTATAAGATGAAGGAAGTGTAAATTGTGTAACCGTATTTTATACATAGTGACATCAAAACAACAACAAAAACAACAATATATTTTTGTTTATGTATAAACAATTGTTTATTGTAACCATAGTTGACAAATTTAAAGACGAATTACTTCAATTTTGTTAAATACAAACAAATAAGAAATTTATTAACATTGAATATTGAACTTTTTCTTATAAAAAAAAACAAAAGATATATTTCAAACGTCATGTTTTTCTATATAATTAGTAATAATGATTATAATAATAAAGGCGAGAAGACAATGAATAAGAAGGAATTTGATATTTTTGTAGTTTATTATGATGAAATAAATTTCCAAGGTATAAATCATAATTTACATTTTGTTTTAAAAAATAAACTCTTACACTTATATTAATATACACATATGACAATGTTTGCTGCAATATTTAAACAGGACACATTAAATTACATGTATTCATGTTCTTTGGTTACATAATATTATGTTTAAATCTAGATAAGTTTAAGCATCGATAAAATGAAGTACAATTAAATTTTCCAGGAATAATGGTGAAAGAACCCAAGAAAATAGAAATTAAACTATTTTTCTTAAATGCTGAACGTACTGTACATGTAAAAACTAAAAGCAGAATATATATATATATATATATATATATATATATATATATATGTCACAAGGCTATTAAGAATACAGAAGACGAATAACACTGTTTGATTCTATTGTTCCTATTTTTTTAATATTGATCTTATTAGATTTTTCTCGGTTCAATAAATATTGGATTAATACTGTTTCCATTACTATTAATATTGTTATTATTATGTG